GCCGAAGGTTCTTCTTTGAGCGCCTCAGTGGTGGGCTCTACCTCAGAATCTGCTTTGGCTTCTGGGACATCTGTGTTGGGGGCGTCTTCAATAGGAGCCATTATCTTCGCTTCCGGCGTGATCATGTCTGCAACTGGTTCATCTTGCTCAGCGAGTGGTGACTGAGCTACCAACACCTCGCTTTCTTGCTTTTCTGGCTCCTTCTCTGGTTCGCAGAGAGCTTTCATAGCCGCGGCTACCAGGACAAGGTTCGGTGGGGCTTCACTTTCTACCTCAGGTCCGGCTTCTTTTGAGACTTCTGGTGCTGGAGACTCTTCCGATTCTACTGGTGGTCCATCCGCTGCCGCGGCTTCCTCAACAATAGAATCATCAACTGTGTCGGACACGGAGCTCGAGCTATCTCCCTCCTCTTCGGGCGTTGGGTCTAGAGCATTCTTACTGTCTTCAGTCGTGCTCAGCTTGTTTTCCGGTACTTGAGATGTCTCTATGGTAACCGCAGGAGGCTCTTCCGGGGATACAGAACTCTCTAAAGGGCCATCAGCAACAGCACCGCCAGTGGCTTCTTCAACAGGCTCAGTTGTGTCAGTGGCAGGCGCAGCAGCATCTGCTGATTTATCTGCATCTGCATCTACCACTGGACTCGATTCGGGTTCAGTGCTCGACTCGTCACTAGGTTCACTTTCAATCTCGGTTTCGCTGTTCGAAAGATCGGATTTGATGGTCTCATCCTGATCATCAGCTGCGGCTTTGTCTGCCTCAGGCGACGCCGGCGCGTCCTCGCTGTTGTTGGCGTCATCGTCCGAACTCACAACGACATCCGTTTGCTCATCTGTGCTTTGTGTAGCAGCAGCAGCAGCAGCCCCAGGCGCTTCGCTTGGGCCAGGCGAAGTAGCTTCCTTCGGGTCTGCATCAGGCGCATGGTCTTGGTCCGCACTAGGGGGTTGTGGATCCGATTCTTGGGGTGCGGCCTGTTCGGGCATATCTCGAGACGCCTGGTAGCCCTCTTTGGGAGATTCTGATGACATAGCTAGAACAAATTAGCTACAGCCTTGCGACAGTATTGACGCGCAAGGCGCGCTTGATCACATAGTAGGTGATCGTTGAGAAATCAAGGTGGCTGAAAGAAAATCGACAAAATATGTGAGAGACAAGATTGGTAGCGAAGGCGTCAACACAACCACTATAGTCAGTGGAACCACGTATGTCGCGATGTCTGGTTGATTACGCGCATGCATTGCAGCCCGAAGACTGGCTCAACAGCATGTTTGCACGTGGTGATAAGCCGGGTTGGGTGGTGTTAAACAAGCGCTGTGCGGAGCGACCAATCAGAGGCTTGCGGCGCCTTTTTGGGTGTGCAGCCTTCCACACTCCCAGCCATTTCTTTGCAACATTACAATAGCAATCAAAATATGTGTTGAGAGTAATTGTGAACGACAGACAATTGAGATGAGACGGAACAATAACCGAACGTACCTGGGGTGGTGTCAGACGCATCTGTAGGCTCTGATGCTAAAGTATCCGCAATCACTTTCGCATCTTGATTTTCGACCTGCAATGACTTGCCTTCACTCTCGTCGCCTATCTCGGATGAGCTTGGATTTTCTGGTTCAGCTGCGCTGGGTACAACAGATCCAGATTGGGCCTCAGAGATCGCTGGGTACTCTTCTGCGTCGCTGGCATCCCATTCGTCATCGCTTTCCTCATCGTTGTCGTGGTCGCTGTGATTGTCGGCTTGAGGAGCAGCCATCGATTCAGCGGGTGTAAATTCTGCGTCCGCTGTTACTTCAACGGGAACTGGGTCCATCTCAGAAGGCGTAACTGCAGGTGTTTCGGTGTTCGCAGCTTCATCTTGTTGTGTTGAGGTCAGCCCTGCTGCAACTTCTCCCTCACCGAGCTGCTCTTCGGCTTGTACTATACTCGCCGCCTCTTCTTCGCTCGTACTGTCATTCTTGGCGGCCATCTCTACTACAGGAGCTTCTTGTGTAGGTTTATCGTCGGTCGATGGCGAATCTGCCAGGACGTCGGTGCTTGCAGCTGTGGATGTATCTTCGTCGGTCATCCCTAGCGTCACATCCTCTGGCTGCTCAGCTTCTGCTTCTGCTTGAGCTTCTGATGGGCTTTCCTCAATTGGTGGCGTAGACGTTGTAGTAGCTTCGGTGTCTGCAGTATCTGCATCTTCAGCAGTGGTGTTCTCGTTATGGCCGGATTCAACAGAGGTCGACTCGCTTCCGACAAGGCTTACGTCGGTACTTTCGGAAGTTACTGGGTCCTCGCATCCTTCATCTCCAGTCTCACTTTCGCCCGCATTGGCCCTGGATTCAACGGCTGCATCCAGGACGCCGTCGGCAGCAGCGGTCTCAGTGATAGTCTCCTTGTCCACAGGCTCCAGAGGTTCCACGTCATCAACAACTTTTGACGTGTCATCTCCGATGTCTGGGGTGCCAGGATTGGCTGAGTCGTCTGTCGGGCTCGCTTGGTCGTTGGCTGCTGCCTCCGTATCAGTACTTGCTGTCTGATTGTCTTTGTCGTCAGTTGAAGGTGTGTCCTCCATGGGCTCGTCGACCGCAGGTGTCGGATCTGCGACAGGTGAATCCTCGGTAGCTGGCTGCTCAGTTACAGGAACTGATTCTTCGACAACGGTCCCCTCAGCTGGAGGCGATTCGTCGATTTTGGCAGTATCCTCAACTTTGACCGTTTCATCAGCCATGGGAGTCGGCTCGACTGCAGGTGCTTCTTCGACTGCAGGTTCCTCTTCGACTGCAGGTTCCTCTTCGACTGCAGGTTCCTCTTCGACTGCAGGTTCCTCTTCGACTGCAGGTTCCTCTTCGACTGCAGGTTCCTCTTCGACTGCAGGTTCCTCTTCGATTTCAGGTGCTTCTTCGACTGTGGATGCCCTTTCGACCGTGGGTGGCTCTTCTGATGGGGCAGGCTCTTCTGCTGGGTCAGGCTCTTCTGCTGGGGCAGGCTCTTCTGCTGGGGCTGGCTCTTCTGCTGGGGCAGGCTCTTCTGCTGGGGCAGGCTCTTCTGCTGGGGCTGGCTCTTCTGCTGGGGCAGGCTCTTCTGCTGGGGCTGGCTCTTCTGCTGGGGCTGGCTCTTCTGCTGGGGCTGGCTCTTCAGTTGCAGGTGACTCTTCGGATGCGGGTGCCGCATCAGTTGTACTTGTCTCTTCGGCTATTGGCTCTGTGTCAGGAACTGGTGTCGCGTCCACAAGAGACTCAACAGATAGTGTTGGCTCGGTTGTAGTATCCTCTGATGTGACAGGCTCTGTATCGGCGACAACCTCTGCCTCGACAACAGCAGTAGTTTCTCTAGCAGGGACTGCGGATTCCACTACCTCGTCGGCTACAGGTTGCGCATCTGTCGCAGCTGGCTCCTTAGGTGGTGTATCCGGCTCTGTAGCAGGTTCTGGATCTGGTGCAGGTGTTTCTTCGACAGTCGCCTCTGGTCCAGGTGTGGCTTCAGCGGGCCCTTCTGATGGCGCCTCGGCGGAGTCAGCGGTGACAGCGCTCCCTGCGACCTCCGAGTGCGCATCCTCTTCCTCTGCAACTGACTTGTCCCCGCCTTGCGGAGCGGCGTCCTCGTTGGATCCTTTCCTATCCTTCTCCTCCTGCTTCTTACGCTTCCGCTCTTCAGCCTTGCTGAGCTTCTTCTTGGATGAGCCAGGATGTTCGTCTTTTGTAGAAGCGTGCTTTTCGTCTTTCGAGGTTGATGATATAGATAGAAACGAGCCGCGACGTTCCTTCTTCTTGGATTTGTCAGGCTTCTTCTCTTCTTTTGGTGATGGGGGTGATGGCGGCGGCGGCGGATCTCTAATGCGAACAAAAGCGTTAGGTTTGCCCTTCCCAATGATCTTCAACTTCTTCTTGTCATCTTTCTTCTTCTTTCCGATGCTTGCAGATTCTGGATCTTTCGTGTCAGAAGCAAAGTGTACAGTCTTCTCTTCATGAGGTTTAGGGGACTTTGGGGGCTCTTGAGCTGCCTGCTCGGACTCACCACTCTTCTCACCATCGTCGATAATGGATACTGGCACTACGTTCTCGGGCGGTGCGGGTGGCGGAGGCGGAGGCAGAGGTGGGGGCACTGCTTCACTCTTGGCAGGTGCCTCGGTCGCAGCTGCTTCGGCAGGAGGCGCTCCCTCAGTGGGCTGCTGTTCGGATGGGACTTCGACAATACTATCACCTGTACTTCCTGGAGCAGGTTCTTCCGTCTTTGGTTCGTCCTGTGGAGCTGGCGCTTCTTCTGCGGGTAATGCTGCCGCAGTCTCTACGGTGGCCTCGCTCGGTCCTGGTAGTTCATCCTTCACGTCTGCAGCGGCAGGCTCACCTTCAGGTTTAGGCTCACCACTACTTGATGGGGTTTCATCTGTTGGTGTCTCAGGAACGAGGTCTGCTGGCGGTGCTTCGGCTGCTGTCTCTTCTTGTGCTGGTGGATCTTGAGTTTCCGATGGTGGCTCTTCGGAAGCAGATGGTGGCTCTGGTGCTTCGGGTAATACATCTGACATAACACGCGCACCTCCGTCGTCTATGTCTAGGTTAGAGGAGGAATCAGGACGGTGAGAGGTAATCATACCAGATTCTTCCTCTTCCTCACTCTCGCTGTTTCCATAACTGTAGCTAACGCCAGGATATTTGAACGCATAAGCTGGAGTAGGGGGGGCCAGCCGTCTAACGACCGGTTGCTGAGCAGTGGTTGTGTAGTAGGCTTGCCCCCCTGTACTGGTGCCAGTGTATGGATTCGTCCATTGCGCATAGGAGACAGTATATCCGCCGGGTCCGGACATGGTCGGACAAACCGACTAGCGTAGTCTTTCGAGATCCAAAGATTCGACAAGTAGAAGTTGTGCTACATGCTATATTTGATGTCTTCCCCGATGCATTGCGGTGTAAAACAAACGGCAAGTACGCAATGGCGACATGAGATGTGGGGTGAGTAGATCAAATTGCGGAGAGACGAATAGAAAGCGGATCACTCAGAGAAGCACCACGAATTTGTGGAAATGCGTTGTGCGTGGCTCGATGGCAGTAGGTTGAAACAGAGCGCTCCAATTGACGAAGCAGAGGTGCAGGACAACGTCACAAGACAGGTTCCGGTAAAGAAGCTGAGATACGCAACCAAGTGTCGCGCGACTTGTCGAAATTCAAAGTGGCTCTGCCACCCTAGCCAGCCTCACGTTGGCAACACACCGACTCATGTTGGGAAGACGAGCTTGGCCTGTGCTCGCTATTGGACCACGTAGGAACACATCGTTCGCTGAATTTGAGAGAATTTGAGCCCGAGAGGTGGGTTCTGGTCGTGGAGGCATTGGCTACAATTGGCCCATTGCCAAGTTAGCTGCCTGAGTCTGCAGGACATGTCGCCAGCACGAATCGTGATGCAGCATCTGTTGTAACCCACAGCGATTTTGGGCGCGGCCAACGGACGGTTGCGCGTGTGGGGAATGTGGACTTGTCGACCAGCGTAGCGAGCCACCGGAGCTCCATATTGGCGGCCCAAAAAAGGGTCGTGACGCAGGGGCGCGCAGAGAAACGTGACGGCTAGATGCCAAAAAGTGATGGTGTTGATGGAGAAAGAGTGACGTGTAAGTGGGCGCGCCGCACTAGAATCTCGAAATGGCCTAGGCTCATGATTCATTCATCGAGTTCATCGAGCCGACCCGCTGAGTCGTTTTGTTCCACCATCTTTCCGCTGCACGACGTGGGACAATAAGGGAGCAGATACCCGCCGACACGTCCCGGAGACTTCTTTGTACGACTAAGCTACTCAATCGCAGTCAATTCCGGTAGTGATATCTCTCGTCTCGATCATTGTGTTGATGACGTGCGTCCAGTAATCGCGGCGTAGGATATCGCAGCGGCTATCGAGGGTAAAAGCAATTAAGGAGATGTCGAAGGTTTCGGCATGATGAGCGAATGCTGAGTGAGTACGTGTCCAACCATGACTACAGAACATTGCCACCAGCGGGAACGCAACCGAGATGATGTTGCCCAATGTACCCGGGATAGCAAGAAGCAACTGCAGCCGTTAATGGCTGCCGCACTGGCTGAGTGTGGTCGATGGTAACTGCCTGATTAGTAAGATGCGTTGACACCACGTGTGCTCGATGTCGAAGAACATGCCATATTGGAGGCATTCGAGTATTTGCTTCACATCAACAGCTGCTGACATGTGATGCAGAAACGACAGTTCGATTGTTCTGCGCGAGTATGACTGCTGCTTCTGCAGGGATCTGATCCTGCTAATTCATGTCACGTTTCAGCACCAGAAAGATGCTCCCTCAATCCCAGATGAGTTTCTGCCGTGGGTCTCGACTTCGAAAACACTTTCGAAAACTCTTTCGAAAAGTGCGAAACGCACGCTTCACTCCCCTCTTCTTCTGTTCTCCTGTCTTCCAATCACAGTCATCTTCCCAGTCCAGTCGCCTTTCCTCCAACTCAGTCCAACCCCCAAGCATCAAACGAGCGCCAGCATTCATCCATACCCCCAACACACACTTTTCACACTCCCCGCTTCTGATATGGACCGACCTTTCAAACCCTTTCTCCATGCACACGTAGACCTCGTTGCCTCCCCATGTTGGACATTCAAGGTTTGTCCAGGAACAAAAGTCCATCGTCGGCGCCGCGCCCTCTGCTGGCTCAAGCCAGATCGCCGGTACGTTTTTACCAAAGTCGCCCTTCGCCAACATAACAGCGGGGTTGTCTGGCTTCATCGGAAGCATCTTGTCGTTGTCCATGGTTTTTACGGCGGCTTCCAACGCCATTTTGAGCGCTGTGATGTTGCTCCCGTATCTTTCCATGATCAACCAAAGCATAGAGGCTCGGATGTAGCGTGGTTCGCGTCTGGGGCTGATGTTCGTGGGCTTTGAGAAGTTGTTATTATCGAGTCGAGCTGCACCCAAGCAGACGCTGCAAGTTCTTTCGCCTTGACTTCTGGCGTATGAACACATATAACAGCGGGTGTTGGTGAAGTCGAAAGAGGTGCTGAAGGACATCGTGTGCTGCTTGGAGAAGACGATGCGTGTTGAAGTTGCGCTGTGTTGGGTGGACTTATGTATTGCGCGATGAGACGAGAGAAAAAACTACGGATGCGAGATGTGAGATTTTAAAGACAGCTGTTGGTTTGCTTATGTGCACTTTTGTGCGGGCACCGCTACCTTGACCCATGGTTCAGGGACCCAACACTTCCACGCCAATTGCCGATACAGCTCCCAGGGTCTCGTTCATGACTCCGAATATGTTGAGTTACTTGGGACCATCCGAGCGGTTGGGCTACTGCAAACAGCAATCAGGTTTGGGCTAACACCAACACAAGTGGTTGATACGAGCGGACGCGAGCTGCAAAGGCAATGTTCTTGCAACTCTTTGACAGTGAAATGGGTCGCATCCGTCAGATCAATCGCAGAAGGATCAGCATGTAAGGCTACATGCGGAGTGAGCCAGTGCGAAGCGCGGATACGAAGTGTGAAGGATATGAACAGATATACTCACATAAGTAGTAGCATGATATCAGCCTCATGTACCCTTACAAAGTAGATCATGCATTCTCTTGCTTCCTCATAACATGCAGCATTCGTCAGTCATCAGTCGTAAAATCATGAAACATCTCCGTCTCGTAGTTGGGCCACACTTGGGTCAGAGCACAACCCAATCCACACCCACTGCCCATTTCTCTCCACAAACATCGATATCCCACGTGGGCGCCCTAACACCAACAACCCCACCCACCCTGACCTTCACACCCCCAGCACCTCTCACACCCCTTTGCCCAGCGAGCAACACCTTCACACCCTCCTCCTCACCGACCACACTCTCCGCTCTTGGCGCATTATATATCCCCGGCTCCGTCTCACCTGTAACTAACACCACACTCCCCGGGCAACACTCCACTTCTTGTACGCCATCTCTCCCAATGCTGGAGATTCTGGCCTTGAGCCGCACACCATCCTCCCTCTCGCGGCCCCAGACTATCCCAGGAGAAGCAAATCCCGTCTGAGCAGCCTCGATGATCCACCCTTGCACCGTGGAGGCCAGGCCGTTCGCAACGTACTTCTGTGTTTTGCGCGAGGGCGAGAAGATCTCGGGAAGTGGGTGGGAGTGTTTTGGTGGGCTTGTTGGTTGCGGGGGGAGGATGAAGTGCGGGCGCGAGGGAGGCGCGGGGACGGTGGTTGGGTTCGTGGTTGTTGTGTGAGCGAGGACATCGAGGTTGTTGAAGGGTATGGGCGCTTGTGGAGGCGGAAAGCGGAAGCGGTGCGATGCTGCGCCGGGGAAGGACGTTTCTGGGAGTGCTTGATGGGGGAGGGTGGGGGAGGGGGGTGAGGGAGGTGAGGTGCGCCGGCGCTTTGGATGCGGGGCAGAGGGGAAGAGGATCTCGTCGTCGTCATCGTCGTCATCGTCGTTTTTCGCGGCTTCCCGATGTTCGCCTCCTTCGTCTTCGGCGAACATGCGCTCGTGTTCGATGGTCTGCACGATGTCGACTGCATCGTCGTCTAGCGGTCGAGACGGACTCGACTGCGACGCTTCCTCTATGCTCTCCACTCTTTCAAATTTCCTCTGTGTCTTTGGTCGCGGCGTGTGATCCGTCGATGCGCTCGACTCTGGTTCCTCGACGCGGTCAGGCGCGCGGGGCGTGACGTCGCCGGCATGAGGTCGTTGTGTCGGCGCGGCTACGAATCGTTTCGCCGGCGTGATCTTCTTGAACTGAAGCTCTGAGCTTGGCTTCGGTGTATGTGCACTAATCGCATAGCGCAGGTTCGACTTAGGGTTTGCCTTGGGTGTCTGCGTAGATGGCTGATTGGGTGCTATGAAGCGGTGCGGTGAAGGCTTCTGTACCGGCATCGTGGTCGCGACATTGGTTTGGAAGAAGTGCTTGGGCCGTAATGCTGTGGGCGACGCGTGCGCTGTGACGGACGTGCTGACATGGTGGCGTTGAGGACGATGGAGAGGTGGAAGGCGCGAAAAAGCGGGGCGCGACACGCGCTGTCACGAGGACGCTAGAGTCACGTATCGCAGAACACGTCATTGTGTGCTACCAACTTTTCGAACTTCTCATTCTCGGTTATGGTAAATAGTGGCCACCTCCTGGCTTCAACGATCTGCCCAAAGCGCAGCTCATGGATGGTTCGGTAGACTCCAACGTCGGACATCAAAGCCGCCAAAGGGTCGAATGCTTTTGTGGTGGCTTTGAGTTGTCCACGTTGATGTGTAGATGCCATTTACCATCGTAGTAGAAAGATGAAGGCTGCTCGAGGATGTGAACAGAGCCTCCCTGTCCTTGGCTGTTGCACGTCGGACAGCTCCCTTTGCTCGGATAGTACCTTTGGTCTCGCGCTTCTGCTTCTCGTCGTCTAGTTCTGCCTGTTTGCTGTTACCGGACTCCTACATAATCATCGTACAGAGGATGGCTAGCTTTGGACCGTGTTTTTTCCCACTCCGCATCTGACATCCTGCCTGGGCGGCGATCGTTCATAAGACTGATAGCGCCGCTGCTCAGTCGAGCCTTCCACCTCGGGCTGAGCTCGCGCCTCTGCAGGTCAGCAACAAGCTTACTGACGACATGGGACTGTGGCGATGGCAAGTGGATGAGATCGTAATCGCTCGACTTCCAGCTTTCCATGAACTGGTCTCGAAGCAGGAAGTTGTTCTCCTTGGCACCAGCGGGGTCCATTGCATAGTCCATCCAGGCGATGATGAATCTGTGAAGAAAGTTGGCGACATCGATCATGCTGCCGGTGCTGTGATGTTGATACTGTGTGCGTGAAGAACGGACATGTGGAAGAAGCAGTTGGAGCTGGTGTGGTGGAAGAAGCAGTTGGAGCTGGTGTGGTGGAAGGACAAGAAGACCGCTTTTGCCTTGTGATTCTGTATCTCGTTGGTGTTTACACATGGGCTCCTTTCACTCTTCCCTTTCACTCTCGATGCCGCGCTCGCAGGCTGCCGCACGTCGAATCTGTCCTTCTCTGCAATTTTAGCATAACACGCTCCTAGGATCTAGCGGTAGGCTTGAGCTAGACTCTTGTCCAAGGCATGGGTATCATTGACGTCTGGAACGCTTTGTGCGCCTGGTTGCACAGTGAAAACACAACATCGACCTTTTACACTGCACCGGCTCTTCGTCGCTCCAGGATTTGTTGCTTCAGTCCTTCGGCGGCCACCTCAGTCTCCAGCACGCGGCCCACCCCCTTCTTCCATGTCTCTTCCAGCGTCTTGATCTCGCCATGCACGCTCTCTTGCTGCGACCTCCTCAGCGTCTCCACCTCTTCGTGCTGCTTCCCCACATCCGCCAACTCTGTCTCAATGCCCTTCAGGATGTCCTCAAGCTGTGAGTTGCCGACCAGCCAAGCATTCTTTCCAAACTTCTCCAGCAGTCCCAGTTGTGTCAGCCGCCCTTGCACATATTCTGAACTTGTGTGTGCCTGCTTCAACGCCTTGTCCCACTTCTCCAGTAACTCTGGCCTATCCTCGTCGCTGGTAGGATTTGTGTTCTCCGGCGCATCAAGGTCCTCGTAGCGCTTCAGGTCGATGCCAGAGAGCTTCGATGCCGGGTTCCCGTCCAGGCGCGCATGCTCGCGCTCAATAAAGTCCGAGAACCGCGGTGTGTACGTTGCGGCCGGAATGAGTGCGGGGTGCAGGTCCGAGGTGTCTACGCCGGCGCTTCTGATATCCGCATCGATGGCTGCGCGCGCGGCCGCCAGGCCAGCTTCGTCGACCTGGGTATCAACGTCTGCAGCAAATTAGCTTGCGAGCGAGAAACGGTGCTCACGTGACACATTGCTGTGTCGGCGCACTGGGAGCGAGCAGAGCCAGCAAGGCAGGTGCTATCCAACGTACAAGGGAGCGAGTCGTAGGATTCGTTTATCAGCGGCATGGTTGTATGTGACTGTGCAAAGCAGGATGTGGGCAGCGCGCAGCGAGAGGAGAGGTGCAGCAACCTTCAAGTCCGCTAGCGCGCCGCTCCCCTGCCCTGATCCCCTGCCCCAACGGCCAGCCTCCGCGAAACGAGCGAAACATCATGCGCCCGGGCTGCACCCCGCGAGACTTGCTCCCAGGTTGCTCCCAGAACTCTGGACATGCGGTGCCGTGATATCACGTCCCCGTGAAGCAGGGCCTATCACTGCAAGACACAGATAGTAACCACCCCCCTCTCGTTCGCGGCTGCTATGTGAAGCTGTGCAGCGCCGCTGTGCGACCTGACGTGTATATTACCTGACTTTGCCGCTACTACGAGGTACCTCAACTCGTTGCCGCGCACTTCCGTCTCCAACACCTGCCCATGTGAATGGCGCGCTCACATATCGCTGTCGCCTTGGGCGCGGCTCTTGTTGCTATCCTGGTCGTTGGCCAGCTTGCCGTTAACCTAGGATTTCCGAACAGTGAGTCCTGGCACTTGAGGCTGGACCAGAGCTACGATGGCACCCAGCAAGACCTGTTTGTGAGTACGAAGCAAAACGGAGGCCTGGTAGAAGACCGGTCGCAGTACCTTATTGGTGTGGGCAAGGCAGACATCACTGGGTATGTCGGCAGCTCGGGAACCATATCGCAGCACTAATCTCTACAGGCCCGTTGTCGAGCTCAACTTGATGGGCTATGCCAACTCGTCGCAGGTCGGGACAGGCCTTCGCCAGCGCCTCTACGCGCGTGCCTTTATCATAGGCAGTCCAGACAGCCCAAGCGAACGTATCGCGTACATGGTGCTGGACACCCAATCCGGAGACACAGCTATTCGCAACGGCATCCTGGAAGGCCTTCGAGCTCTGGGGCCCGAGTACTCCATCTACACCAAGGACAATGTGGCCGTGACAGGCACACATAGTCACTCGGGTCCAGGAGCGTGGCTCAACTACCTGCTCCCGCAGATCACCAGCTTGGGCTTTGACAAGCAGAGCTACCAGGCCATAGTCGACGGCGCAGTGCTTTCGATTCAACGAGCACATCAAAGTCTGGCCCTGGGAACCGTCGGTGCAGGGAGCGCGAAGATCGCCGACGCCAACATCAACCGTAGCCTGTTTGCGTACCTCGCCAACCCAGCAGCGGAGAGAGCGCGGTACACGGACGATGTAGACAAGACAATGACGCTGCTCAAGTTCACCAGGTCCAGCGACGGAAAAGCAATGGGTATCCTCAACTGGTTCGCTGTTCACGGCACCAGCATGCTGGGCAACCAGACACTGATCACCGGTGACAACAAGGGCGTGGCAGCATACCTCTTCGAGGAAGCCATTGCTGCTGAAGGCAACGTGGCAGAAGGCTTCGTTGCCGGCTTCTCCCAAGCCAACGTCGGTGACACCTCGCCGAATGTTCTCGGTGCCTACTGCGAAGACGGGACGAACCAGCAGTGCAGACGCAACGACAGCACCTGCGCGAACGGCAAGAGTCAAGACTGCCATGGCCGCGGGCCCTACTTCGGTCTGAACGACGGCGGCGCAAAGTCATGCTACGAGATCGGAAAGCGTCAAGCAGACGGCGCACGCAGCATCTTCAACACGGCAAGCTTCACCTCCATCTCCGGCAGCGTCCGCTCCTTCCACACCTTCGTCGACTTCTCCAACTACACTGTCCGCCTCAGCAACGGCTCGCTCGCCACCACCTGCCCAGCCGCCATGGGCAATTCCTTCGCAGCCGGCACCACTGACGGGCCGGGGGCGTTTGACTTTGTGCAAAACGACCCCGGGGCGCCATCAAACCCCTTCTGGAACGTGGTGGGCAGCGCCATCGCGCCTCCATCTAAGGCGCAGAAAGCATGCCAGTATCCCAAGCCAGTCTTGCTGAACGTCGGCGAAGCAAACACGCCCTACCCCTGGTCGCCCAACATCGTCGACATCCAAACCCTGCGCATCGGCCAGTTCATCATCATCGTCTCTCCGGGCGAGGCCACAACCATGTCCGGCCGGCGCTGGCGCGAAGCCGTGCACAACGCAGCCAAATCCTCTCTCCTCCCATCGACCGTAGACCCCATCGTAGTCCTCGGCGGCCCAGCAAACACGTACGCGCACTACATCGCCACGGCAGAAGAATACGCGATCCAGCGCTACGAGGGCGCGTCGACGCTGTACGGGCAGCACACGCTCGCTGCTTTTATCAATGCGACATTGACCCATCTACCGTACCTAAGCGACGAGAAGAAGGGCGTGGTGCCGCCTGGCCCAAGCCCGCCGGACAACAGGAAGCGCAGCATCAGCCTGATAACAGGCGTTGTGTATGACGGTGCGGGTTTCGGGAAATCGTTTGGCAATGTAAAGACGGCGCCGAAATCTACCTACCATGCTGGTGAGACGGTGAGAGTTGCGTTCGTCGGCGCGAATCCGAGGAACAATCTGCGTCTCGAGGGCACCTTCACATCGATAGAGCGAAACGTCGACGGGGCCTGGACGCAGATCAAAAACGACAAGGACTGGGAGGTCGTGTATGAGTGGAAGCGCGTCAATGGACTGGCGGGCACGAGCGATGTTACGGTGAGCTGGGATACGAGCTTCTCGCGTCCGGAGGCGGGCCGGTACCGCATCAGATACTTTGGAGACTCAAAGAGTGTGGGGGGGAAGATCTCGGCGTTTGAGGGTTCTAGTGGGGAGTTCAGAATTGTGTAGGTGCGATTCGATGATGAGATTAGGAAATGAGGAGTCTTGGGTGTGAGAAATGAGAAATTTTGGGTGAGAGAGAGAGAGAGAGAGGAAAGGAGTGCATTTCTATACTGATGCTGATGCGGATGCGTATGCAACGTGCGGGTATCCTAAAGCGCCAACCTAGCCTCCGTAGCCCTAATGAATCGTAGCCCTAATGAATCCCTAATGAACAAAACTATGCCAGAATCTATGGTTGGCCCAGGCTGCACAATGTCAACATCGTACAGCATCGCCTCATCTTGCTGCCATTCCATCATCTCCATCATCTCTCATCTATACATACGCGCCATACTCCGTGCCCCTGGTCCTAGGCCTCCTGCTCCCACTGCCCGGCCCAATATCAATACTCTGCAACTCCAAACTCAGCGCCACATCCTCGTTCTGCATACCCCGATCAAGCGGGATCTTGGCCGGGATGGGCGGCGCGCCAGCGTGCCTACTGCTGTAGCTACCATAGCTGTTAGGTGTGTGGCGCTCGCGCAGTGCCTCCCTGGAGCGAGAAGTAGATTCGTAGCCCCGCGACACCGGTCGTCTGGCCTCGTACCCGTTATCGCGGTCTGCGAGGACAAGGGCGTTGGACATGTCAAAGTCCGGCTGCCGGCGCGTCATAACGAGTGCCTGGCTAGGCACGGCTTCCGCAGCGCCAAACGTGACGTCCGCTGCACTCCTAATGCGGTCGCGTTCAGCGCGGTCGCGGCGGTACTTTTCTTCTCTTGCTTGCGCTTCCTGGAGCCCGCGGCTGCCGTTGAGTTGGGCGCGGACACGGGGCGCCTTTTGCTTGACTGTGCCCTTTGGCTCGGGTTCGGGCGCCCAGTTGTCGATGGGGAGGTGGTCGGAGGCGTCGACGACACGGCCGCTAAACGTGACGATCTGGCCTTTGTCGTTGTACTCCATGCTGCTGCCTGGGCGCTCTGGCTCTTCGCTGGCAGGCTTTGCAAGCGAGGGGTTGAGTACGTTGAAGTCGTCGGGGCCGAAGGGTACGCCTGACAGTCGACGCTGGCCAAAGTCCTCTTCTGGTGGCGGTGGCCGTGGCGAGACGGACTTGCGTGTAGGCATGCTTCGTGCGGACATTCTTGATGCACGCTCGTCTACGGGATTGGGCGAGTGCCTGGGGCTTGGGTTGGGGCTGTGAGCACGAGACCTCGGGTTAGGGCTGTGCGCACGAGGCTTGTAGATGGGCACATAGTCGTTGACGGGAGACCTCCGGCGCGGCTCCTCGGGAGGATCGTGGTCGTAGTATGAATCCTGGGGAGGCTGAGACTGGTAGTGGACCAGCTCATGAGGCTGAACGGGCGCGGTATACTCGGGCGGAGCTCGGTACTCGGCTGGTTCAGAGTACTGTCGGAGACGTGGTGGTGTCTGGTAGGCGGGAGGTGCCTGGTAGGAATCTCTCTCACGGCGAGATGCATCGAAGCCAGCAACCAGAGCAGCAGGGAGTGGAGTCTCCTGCCGCAACGGCGAAGGTGCCATCGTGTCACGAGATACTGGTCGGCTGTTGGACTGGACAGTAGGGCGAGGATGCGTGTAGCGTCGCTCTGTCGGCTGGCGGTACTCGTAGTCAGGAGCTGCGTATGGCTGGCGCTGCAGATCGTAGCCGGGCTCGGGCGACTGCTCCTGATGGCGTGTGAAGTGGAGGGGCGGCGGGGAGTCGTTGGCGTAGTGGTTGGTCGAGCTGTATGAGTGCTCAGGGGGGAGTGTAGCTGCATTCTTCCTGTGCGCTGGTGGCGGCGGCGGCAGGTCCAGGTCTTCGTCTTCTACGGTGGGCTGCATTGCGCTCTGCCTTCGGCGCGAGTGCGTGTCATCGTACGGGGGCGAGGCCTCCATGTAGCTGCTTGGTCGGTACGGCTCGACGGGCGAGGCTTGGTCCTGGTTTTGGTTCCGCAAGTTGCTTCTGCTCGAGCGCAGGGGTGCGACGTGGTAAGATGGATCATCGTAAGGATCGTGAGCATAGGGAGGGGAATGTGCGCTCGCGTAGCGCTGTTCTGGCTCGTGGCTGTGCTGTGTGGGAACGACTGGGGCGGAGTGTGAATGGACAGCATCGACCGGCGGTGGCTGGGCGTGTGCTCTGGGGGAACGGAAGTCGTCTTGCGACATGGTCCTGCCATGTCCTTCTGTCACGTGGCGGGGCAGGGCATCGACTGGCTTCACCTCGTATGGCTTCGGCGCTGCGTACGACATGTCGAAGCTATCGCCGGGCTGTGCCAGGTTCGGGTTCGGGTTCAGGTTCGGGTTCGAGGTGCGCGGGTTTGGTGCGGTGTAAGGCTCCTGCGGCGGTTGCTGGCGCACAGGTGTGCTGTGGCTCGATGCTGGTGCAGCGCTGACGGGCGAAGCGTCGGGCACCGGCCGCCGACTGGGCTGGAGCGGTGCGGGCTCTTGGGCATGTCGTGGAGAGCCGAGTTCGCGCGGACCAGCACGTACGCCTTGCAGTCCCCGGTGCTCTGGTGTGCTCATGGGCGAGGGTGATGCAGCGGTTGGGTCTGATGGGAGCGGTCTCCTCTTGATAGGCGTGCTCTCTCGTGCTCCCCGAGCGCCTCGGGGCCCTCCTACTGCTGGGCTCTGTGCCTCGGTTTGCGGGGACTCCCTCTTCTTCTCGGCCGCTGGCTTCTCAGCCTTTGGCCGCGTGTCGTAGTACGTGAACTCGATGCGGATCTCTCCGGCATACTTGCCCTTGCAGTCGAGGGTGTGCCATCCATCCGACTGTCCTCCGCCGGGGTTGATGACGCTGTTGAGGCTGATGAAGGTGTCGCCGATCAGCTCGGTTTTCCTGTCGTCGTTGAACACAGAGACCTTGATGCGGTGGTAGTCGGGCGAGTCGTGGACTGTGAAGCGGAGTTCTTGGTCCCTGCGTGTGCATCAGCATCGTTTCTGTTGGGCAGAGTCGCGGTACGCACCACTTCGGCGTCTGCCCGCCGCGCTTGTCGGTCTGTGTCTTCTTGGCCTCTTTGCCGAGCCGTGCAGCGCAGTAGGGGTCCTGCTTGCCCATTGTGCGCTTGTTGGGCAGGTTGCGGGCGCGGTCGATGATGGCGACCAGCGTGCCGATCACTGGCCCGTCGACCGTCATGTCTGAGAAGATGCCCGCTGTGTGGGCGCCGCCAAAGGCTGCCATGTTGAGTTTGGCAGCCATGGTTGGATGGAGACGGGGCTCGAGCCTGGAGGCGGGAGGCGGGAGGCGGGAGGCGGGAGGCCGGAGTCGAGCTAGGAAAGAGCGGAGGGAGCTGCGAGCGCGAGGGTCGGAGTGGAGCGAGGAGTGGTGGAGCGGCGCAGGTGGTCGTGTCGGCGGTTGTGTCGGCGGTTGTGTCGGCGGTCGTGTCGGCGGTCGATGGTGTGCATGCGCTGGGCAATTGCAGTAGTGTAGTGTTTGGTGGCAGTGATGAATGGCAGCGATGAATGGCAGCGATGAAGGGCAGTAGTGTTGGTGGCAGTGATGAAGCGAAGCGGTGTGTTCTCAAAGGGTGCAAAAGAGCGACTGGCAGCTGGGCCGAAATTGGGCGTGGATCCTCAGAACTCTGCTGCAGCTCGAGCTCGAGGGCGCGTTGGCTGTTTACTACATAGTATGTCTTGCGTAGTTGCGGTGGCTGGTGCATCCCGCTAAGCTTCCCACCCAACCTCGCCGCAAGCCCCGCGCATCAACGGGTCCGTGATCTCCATTTCGATCCCTTTCGCTCACGTACCTGGCAGAATGCACCAGTCCCGGTTTCTAATCCGAACGCGCCTCCCTGCAAACGCCTGATCGAGACATGTCGCGTTGCTGTGACGGCCCTATCGAATTGCCCGGGGCTGGCGCTCATCCGCGCCTCATCCCGGCACTGACAGCTCGGGTGCTCCAGCCAGGGCTGCTGCATCTCCGCTTTGGGACGCGTATCCCAGGAGCCTTGACGCGTGCGTGTCTTCCGTATCGCAGTCCGTCCATTGTGGACATGCGGTTCGCTTTCGAGCTGCGGACCTGCATGAGGCTTACACCAGGCGCTTTCTGCTAGTGCAACCAATGAACTAAAAACGCCTCACGTTATCTCCGTTGTCTCCGTTGATCCCCGTTGTCTCGTTACTCTCATCAACTGTCTTGCTTGCATTATCAAGTAGAACCATCTGTTTGGCTGTTGATGCTTGACTCGTTCCACAATTATGACATCGGCGCTCATGGATCCTTTGGGGTTCCGTTCGGTTGCTATGCCGGGATCCGTTGATCTGCTGCAGGCCCATCGTACGATGAAACCCGTTGTCTAAGATCACACCAAGACCCTCGCGAATCCTTCGCCCTCAAAACACAGATGGCTGGGCGACGCGACCAGGGCCTTCCTGGTGCTTCGCGTGTTTTCTTATTACTTATTGGGTTGGGGATACGTTTACTGAAGTTGGGCTCTAGCGTACATCCTTGCGTGTATGTGTTTCCCCCATTTTGCGCCCAGGCAATGTCCTGGCGATTGCTTGTCGTTCGTACAGTGCGAACTTCTCCGGCGTGCACAGTCACATCCTGTGGATCCAAGAGACGTCATAAGGGTCTCTGGTGATCTGTCTTTGAGCAGAATCTGGTGTTCATAATGTCTGAGATCCGCAGATAATTTTCGAGTACCAGCAACACCGGGGCAACCACCACGACATCTAGGACCGAAGAGATGAAAATCATATCGACTGACGTCACCGATTTATTTGAAAATGGAAGTTTCAGACATCAAAAAAAATTGCTGGGTTAGGGTAGGTTTGCGATATGAAATGTTCCAAGGTTGGTGTCGCCATCTAGGGCTGTGCTGTCATGGATCCTTAGGTGGCTGAGAAGAGGTGTATTGCTTTCGAATCGCCGCTAGTATAGACTACTGCGTTCTACACTCAAAGACAGAATCACGCAAGCTCTCGTTTCCAGGCAACAGCTTGTAAACCCTGTAGATGTCACCCAGGAGGACTCCAAGACCGAACTGAACGAGCTCCTCGAGTCACTTCACAACGCCTGTTCGCAGAACTACGCCATCATGCGGTACAGGATCCCAGAGGTCATCACACTGCCGGACATCAAGTTCATGTACTTTCAACCGCACCGCGCCAGCGTCCCACTCGTTCCGGACGATATCCAGTCCCTTTTACACTTTGGCGCCTACAATGACATTGCTCACGCATCATGCGTCACACGTAAGTCCCAGCCTATCGATGTAGCGAGGGCGATCTGGTTCTACGGTGTGGACGACGGTCACAACTCCATGCGCTACGATGTGCAAATGCGCTACAACACCGTCATCATGGCGTTCATCGCGGCTTCGGGCTTCGATGCACAGTATTGTAGACTGGCAGCCAGGAATTTATCGAGTAAACCATGGATGTAGCCATCAGACCGGCTTACGACAGTCGACGAGCCATTGAATAGGCTTGGATGGGGGCCCTCGTTCATCGGCACGACCCCACAGAAGATGAATTCGAGTCCCGTAGGCAGTTCATCATGCTCTGGCACAGCAGTTCCTTCGATTTGTACTGGTTTGGCAGACGCGACCGCATCAAGATGGGATCTAGGATCGAGTGGCTCATAAGAAGCAAGGGGGAGGGGGGGTGAACTCCTGAGCCAACTGCGCACACCGATCGATCCCTCGCTGCCGCACCCTAGGACTGTGAGGGATAAGCACCGTCCGCCACCTAACGAGAACAGCTTCTTTGTCACCAAGTATCAGATCTTCAACGAGAGTTTCAAGGTCGACAAGTCGAGGCAGCAGCAGCAAGGTCAGCCACAGGATGCAGACATTGGAGGCGGTATGGCGACGCTTTGCCACTTGCTGGAGACTAGATTGACTTTATGTATCCATCAACAATCATCAATGTTGGTATTTGCAAGTTGCTCGGTGCGGCTGAAAGGCTCCAGGCAAGAACAATGTATTCGTGTCGAGTACTCAGATCTTCGGTGTCGGCCAAGCATGATGCAAGCCACAATGAAGACCCTGGATGGTCGAAGGTTCAAGATTGAGTGCACGGATGTGTGAGACAACATAGTAGAGCAAGAGTCACCCAGAGACGAGATCCACGAGTTTGGAGGCAGTCACGGTCCCCGAGGCGAATGAAATGCAGATTCTATGATCGACGTAGCTCCAGCAGTTTTCTTATCGCGCTCTTGGTCCCCAGTCAAAGGATCCATGCAGGCGCATTGAGCCAAGACCGTCCGACGCCGTCCGCCCACTGGTGCTCAACCTCGAATAAGTAGCATCCTTATCAGCTCTGAGCTCCGTTCAGCCTAGGATGGTTGAGGTCTTCTCCCGTTGCTGCTTTTCCTATCAGCACCAGACCCACGCCCGTCCAAGGACACAGCCCTTAATCTGATCCCACCTTCTATCGCTGCCTCTGCCTTGAAACACCGTCCAAGCCGGCTCCTCTCTACTTGACACCCATGATCGGCAGCAGTTCTTTCATAAATCGTCTGCAAAATGGGTTGTGCGAAAACCCGCGGCGTCAACACGACTGCAACGGCGGCCAGTAGCAGCACTATCATGAGAATGGTAATGCTTACCTTTGTCCTGCCCGCGGTGTGGCGGATCATCAGCGATAGTGTGGTTCCGCCACTGTTCCCGTTTCGCACTCGCAGATACCGGTATAGCTCTACCGGGTCCGCCTCTTTCTGCGGCTGGCCGGCATCTCGAAGGAGACCTTGCCGTCCTCCACGGTTTTCCTGTACTAGTTTGTCTTATCGGTGTTCTGTGCTGCACCAAGTGTAGTTATTGCGATGCGCAGTGATAGCAGCCGCGTGATATAAGTGTCGTTTGTCTCTCCTTCCCTTCTCTTTTCCGCCGAGAAAGTCGTCACTTCGAAGATGCCTTGGTTCACATCCCCAATCATGACTGACCTACTGGTGCCGTCGTCGAAGCGCTAATGTTTCCTTGTCTACATTCAACAACGTCAGATCTGCTGAAGCTTCCTCTTTATCTCGGGGCCCCTTGATCCATGCTCTGGCGTTGCGATAGGCTAGTATAGTGTCGTTGCTTTGGTGCGCCTTCTGGGTGGTCACTTCTTCACATGGTTGATGACCGCCGCTGTTTCTGATGTTCTCGAGGTATAGCGATTTGCCCTCGGAGATCCTTGATATTCTCCATCTTTCTATCAGACCGAAACCTATGTAATCTATCAAGTACCACCTCTTTGGTGTGGCTGTCGCATTGTAGGATCGTATCTGGTTGTTGTCCAGACCCATTCAATCTATACGAGTCGCGTTACTGCCGTCAGCAAGGTTCAGCACATTCGTAGCATCCACATAGACCCAGTAATCTTCCGACTGTTTTGTCTCTTGCTCAGCGCACGTAGCGTTCTGTACATCGAATCGTCGGAGCACCACCTCACACGGCGTTCTATCGTCAACCTCGAAAGCTCTCATGGTATTAGCACCGCTCACTCTGACCCCTTTGACAGATGGTTTGCCAGCGGCGACGGTCATTACGGGGTTGTAGGCTCTGTTCAGAGCTGCTGGTATTTGCGTTGCTACCATGAGTATTAAGGCTATCGCGGCCAGTACGCTTTTTCTGCCATGTCACATAGGGGCCAGAGATATCTTGAGCTTCTCCCTCACTGACGCCTTGCTTACAAGCGTACACTCTAGGCCCCGGCGGCTAGCTGCCCAATCGAATATGATCGCCAAAGCTGCGGTGGAGAACGGTTGAAGTATTGCTAGATACGTGCTCCAATCTTCACTGAGAGTTTGTCTGCCATTGCTGTTGGTGGTTTGAGAGGGCGTGGTAAACCGAGCAAGGCATAGTTGCGTAATAAACCCGTTATATTCAACAGGAGCTTTGAGAGCTTCGAGTTTTTAAAGGAACAGGAGAGAGCTCAGGTTTAAGAGAACCCGTACCTTGAATATGTAAATAGACTGCGCGCTTGCACCTGCAGCCTCGTTGGGGAAGGAGAATCCTATGAGGCTTAGTGCTTGTCCTGTAAATATTTCAGGCACACCCAACAGGCTGGGATGTGTGGCAAGCGAGCCAGTCAGGTGAGGCATACATAGTGGCAGGTTGAAGTCGATATGTGATTCCGATTACGCTCTCAAGTGCGCGCATGTGGTTATCAGCTGTGAGGTCGGCGGAAAACGGAAGGATTGACAGCTAAGCAATACCTTTCGAATGAGAGTGTATGTGGCGAATAATGAAGTAGAAAAGCATTGCCTTCGCGGTTTGATTCATGATTATCACAGCAAAGTTCCAGGGGCTAAGAATGTCGACGGGTCGGATTTTGATGTTTGCCTTCCGGACGTTGTCGATATGAGCCTTTCGACTGGCCACGTGTTTCTATGTCGTTGTTTCCCACCACACATCACCTTCTCCTCCTCAAAGGTGTCTGTTGCTCAGCAGGCTGATCTGGATCCCATCCCACTAGACAATTGACCGTCTCTGCTCCAAGGCCTGGATCGTTGATCCGCGAACCGGATGGGTTACGGAACCGACCCATCAGCTTTATGTACGCATCCAGTGCATCCACCATTGTCTTGCCCAGGCCCAGAGCCTTGTCAGCTCGTGTGTGCGCATAGAAAGTCAGCAAGTCAAGCGCATCGTCACGCTGACCGTTTTCCACCAAAAGTTTTGCGCTTTGCTCGATCCAAGCTAAGTCGCTGAACGAAGCATTCTCGAATCCATGCAGCATGTTCTGTACAATTGGCAGAAAGGCCTCGGGATCAGAGCAGGTGTAGTACAAGGCCTGTTTGTAGATGCGTCCTGCAAAGTACGTGGCTTCTTGGTACTGGAAGTCCGGGTCCAGAAACGTCGATGCTGCGTCTGCGGTCAAGTAACGATGCTGCCCATACTCCGGAGGTACGCTCTTCACCCCGAGCCACCATGGGTTGAACGGCGCCGTTACAGATCCCGTAGGTGCAACCCATATTTGGATCAGGTCTGGGTCCATGTCTGTGTGCAGAGAAACGACTTGGCCGTAGCCTGCTTCGTCGTCGGCGATTCGGTAGTCGCGCACGCGCTCGATAAGATCTTTCTCGGAGACGGGAGCCATGGCGAGCGTGGCATTTTCTAGGGCTGCTTGAGACATGTATTTGTATCCGCCTTCTCTTGCAGTGTAGTTGCCGCTCGCTGTGCCGTACGCTTTCCAGATGTTGAAGGGCTCCGTGCCATTGGGGTTCCACCAGCCCTGCTCGACCGCGAAAGAGACGATATTCGGCGAGCCCATGTAATCTGTGCTGTTTGCGAAGTCGACTGGAAATTCCTCAATGTAGCCAGGGTACAGAACGCGAACAACGTCTGGACCAAGACGTTCAGCAGCCCAGAGCTTCTGGCCTCCTGACATCTCCCACACCACCCAGCCCTCATTTGCATCGGCGATGAGATGGCTGTTGCCGCCATAGTCTGCATAGCCATACTCAGCGATCAGCTGTCCGATAATTTCCACGCCCTCACGTGCAGTACTTGCTCGCTCCATCACAACTCGCGCTAGATCGGAGTACTGCAAGCCTGTCTGAGGGTTGGGCGTAATAGCAATCAGCTCGTCCCTGTTCTGTGCCCATACGTCTCTTACAGCAATACTCTTCTCATTCACGCCGCCATTAGTAAGTGGCGCAGGGAAGCCCTCGTAATCGGAGTACTCCATAGATAGGTAGCGGAATGTGTGGGCGGCTTGTGAGATGTTCAGCCGTCGACCAGGCATGGAAGCATCTTCTGTAACGCCGACTTCGACGGTTGCGTTGGGAAGATAATCTTTCGCAGGAAAGATCTCAAGCCAATGTGAGGACACTTCCTCGCCTGTACCGCCGACCATCACACTGCCATCCTCAGTCAATGCCTTGCCAACATAGAAAGCATAGCTGGCAGTGGTAACATCGACTAAGAGAGCTAACGATGTCAGAGTTTGGGACAACATCGTGTTGAAAACCGTGAGGATCCTTGACGATGAGGAAAGAGAAGGTTTGAGGGAATTGACGAAGACTGCCTTGAATTCTGTCACTCCACAACTTATCGTCTGCCGAGAGTGGGGTTGCGGCGGTCAACGAGAGCCGCTTGCTTCATGCAGCTACGCCAAATCTCTGATGCGGCATATTGCGGGGAGTACGAAGAAGCTCGTTTGTATTGATTGAACGCTTGAGGGGGCTGTGCGTGACCCCAACAAGGACAAATCCTCACCAAAACAATGAAGCATCAACACAGTCATTTGATTTTAGCTTAATGAAGCTATTAGAAATTAGGCAAAGTGTATACAGGTCTATTTTCTGGTGTTGCAATTATTCGTGAAAGTTGTTTTGCCTCCATGTTTGATGATCCTCCGCACCTGCTCTGGAATAGCATCCACCCATTGGTTGATGACCTCAATAGGGATATGCACCCTTTCCTCTACCCACTGCCTCTCACACTGCGCCTTGCTGCACCTGGGAGTGAAGTACTTAGTCACATGCCACCTTATACAAGGCCAGGCATGCTCTGATGCCTTGACCTCGGGCGAATGACCTGGGTTGTAACGCAGTACCCATTCATAGCGCTCCTCCCCTTGCTCGCGCGTCAACCGAGGCCTCCATCCAGACCTCCTGCGCGCATAACCAGCCCCATACATCACGTTTTCAAATGTCATGATGCTCATGGCAGGTATAACGTCATCAAAGTCGCCATGCGCCATAGCCTGCTAGCTCTCCTTTTCGCAGTTAGTGCGCGTGGAGGTGACGATTGAGATGATGCAGTCCCTCTGCTCCTGCGTCAACAATAAACTCTGACAGCGTCCTTGGTCATTCTCGTATAGAATTTCGTCCCACAAGAAGACACCTAACCCCTCTGCCTCTTTCTCTACGCGCTGCGCAAACATTGTGAGTTTCCCTTTGCTGAAGCCCATAGCCTCAGCAAGTTTGTGTTGGCTGTCATAGTCACCCCGGATGCTCATGAGCGCGCCGATCGTGAACGCGTGCTCCACAGCTGTCAGCTCAGTCCTGCCGATTCGTGGCTGCTTAACAACCTTGTTCTGCTTGTATTTGAAAGATTTGCGATGAGAAATAGGCATATGTATTATGTGTGGCTGCTGCTATACTGTAGAGAAGTGTGGGTGTTGGCATATATTGGTGGGGTGCGCACGCGCACGGGCCGAAAGTGTTCAATCAACAAAAACGAGCTTCTTCGTACAGCCGAGTGAAGGCTGTTGTCGTTGAACGCCCATCTGTGATCAAGATGTTGCCTGGTTTCCTCGATGAATAATTGCTTTATTGGTGTCCTGTCTAGTCACCAACCAGAGGGACGCGCTTCTGTCCGGCAGGCGTGGTATTTGTTGAGAGGGCTCGTCTTCAACCACCCTGAATCGTTCAGAGGCATTGTGGCATGACTCAATCGTCTGGTCTATGATGGGAGTGCGAGGACCCGGAAAGCAACTTGATAAACAAGAGAGGGAGAGGCGGGGTATTTCGGAGAAGGTGGGTTCCTGCCAGAGCACCGCACGTGGCAAGTGGGACAATTCTGATGAGCCGCAGTTGCAGCTCTGACTTTTCCCTCAACCCACAACATTGCATTGATGGATTCGAATGCGTCACAAGCAGCACTTGCGACACGTCCATGACTCTCAGTTGCCGTCGTTGCCATTGCACCTTCCAAACGTGGTTGCGCGCTTTGAGAATAACGTACTGATTGATGTGCTTCGGCTGACAACAAAGGTTGGTCTTCAGGCACCAGTAATCGAGACCTTTAGCGAGAAGCTCAAGCACCGCGACAGTCAAAGTAAGCACTAGGGCAGTATAAGTAAGGGACAGTATAATATTATTAAGGTTAGCAGTAAGAGCAGCCATCAAGCTTTTCCTACCTTCGTACCTTCTGTCATCCAAATGACCGTCATGGCTTCAAACCAATCTGCAAGCACTACGTTGCGCCAGCGGGTGCGAGAATTGCTTCCTACCGTCTATCTTGGACGCTACGAGACGGGTCCAAAGAACAGTCTGACAGACGTTGCTGGTGTGTTGGTCTCAACACAGTCCATCCACGAGTCCCCGAAATACCCAGATGCACCTGTAGGCTCCATCAACACCGGTGTCACTACTATCCTGCCTCGCAAAGACTGGTTCAACAAGGGTTGCTTTGCTGGCATCTTTCGGTTCAATGGCTCTGGAGAGTTGACCGGCTCGCACTGGATCGAAGAGTCCGGACTTCTGCATTCACCTATTGTCATCACCGGCAGTTTTGGTGTCGGGAATGCGTACAATGGCATCTATGAGCACGGGATAAGGGAGCATCGCGACCAGGTTGGGAAGGTGGGCTGGTTTTTACTGCCAGTGGTCGCAGAGACGTTCGATGGCTTCCTACATGATGTGTCCAAGTTTGCGGTTACATCTCAGCACGTTGTCAAAGGCATCGACGAGGCGAGTAGTGAGCCTGTGCAGGAAGGTAACATTGGTGGCGGCACGGGAATGATCTGCCATTGGTTCAAGGGCGGGACAGGATCCAGCAGTCGCCTGGTGCCAGCAGATCAAGGACAGACTTACACCATCGGCGCTCTCGTTCAGGCCAACTACGGCCAGATGAGAGATTTCAAGATCGCTGGCGCCCCAATCGGCCGCTTAATCTATGAAGAGCAGCAGCGCCTAGTTGAGGAGAACCCAAATGACCCAGAATTGTTGGCGCAGGCATCCATGCTCTTCAAGATCAAGGAAGAGAAGGACAAGCAGGATGGTAGCATCATCATCATTCTTGCAACAGACGCGCCACTGCACCCAACACAGCTTCGACGCCTTGCAAAGCGTGCGACCGTCGGTCTCGCCCGAGTAGGAGGCTGGGCATCGAACTCATCTGGCGACATCTTCCTGGCTTTCTCGACTGCGAACCAAGTGACAGTCCAAGAGCACACGGCGACGACGCAGAAAGTGGATCCGTGGAAACCGAAGGCACACAGCGTGGACGTTATCGATGACCAGACGATCAATGCGCTATTCGAGGCGAGTGCAGATGCCGTGGAGGAAGCAATATTGAACGCGGTATTCAAGGCCGAGAGTATGGAGGGTAATGGAAACAGGATTGATGCGTTGAACTTGGACAAGGTGAAAGAGCTAATGGGGAAGTACCTGTGACTATTCGTCTAAAACGTAGCCGTCAGCAAGATCTATCAACATTCCACTCCACTTAATAGTCGCTCGATAGCCGATCCTGGCATGGACTGCGCGACCATGATCTACCACAGCTACCCTAGCTCATCCGTGGTTCATTTGGTGTCTGTCAGGTTTGATCGGCGTCTGCGGTAAAAAGCGGGTACTGTATCATGTAACCTTAGACTCAGAAGTCGGTACGATCCGAGGAGATCGTTGACTGCTGCACACCCATCGACTACAAGAAAAAGCTCCGATTGATCACGGACAAGTTGTCCGCCCCATAGATCTGCAAACATGTACTTGTCAAGACACCACTTTCGCTCGTACCTTATGTCTTTAAATATCCGGCGTGGAAATCTAAACAACCATCGTAACAAATCTGGAAGTCGACATGTAATCTCGGGGTACGCGTCAATCCAGAGGCAATCCAGATGTTCTCGATACGTCTCGATGAAGCGGTGAGTACATCATCATCTGGTCGTGTACTTCATGCCATAGACATTCCTCGGAGCAGGTGGTGCGATACGGATGTTGTGCGCCTTGTGCCGGCGACGCCCCAAGCTAGACTAATAGATATGAGTAAGTAGTAGTCAAGCGTAGATTGTCAAACATGCGGGTGAGGCTGAGCACCACACCGCGATCAAAAAGAGGGCTCGGAACCACCGCCCTGCCCGCGGGGTGGAGTGTCAGTGAATTGCGGTGCGACAGCCTTGAGAACGAGTCTCGTGCCAGAGAGAGGAGTGTGCTCGTGCATCTAGACCATGGGCGAACGTGGCTGTGAAAAAGGCGAGGGTCCAGACTCCTCTGCCTGGATCAAGTAAGCGTATGGCTTTCTTAAAATGCGACTTTGTCGAACCGAGCTACCACATCGAAAACGTGATCAAGCGATGCGCACAAGGAAATGTAAATAAAACCTGTAGGAAAGGGCGACGCTCAGCGTTGCCAAACGCCGAACAGAGTGGATCGCAAAAATCCGAGGGTTCAAGAAGGACGTGCGGATGGCATTTCCAGTGACATGGCACAATGCGATATCCCGGCTGTTGCAGTCTAGTGCGTGGAATACGGGACAACATCGGGACCCGGAACTAATACAACGAATTGGAAGTCTGCAAAGCAAAACACACCAGTCCAGACCGTTGTTCAAATGTACGCGATCCTCGCCACGTATTCAATCTGGCGTCGCTTGTTGTTCCATCAGACTGGATGACCTGCAGTTGAACGTTTTGTAATTCTCTCACGTCCCGCTTAATAAACCCTGGACTTGCGGCTGAGCGCTGTCAGGGAGGGGAGCAATAATCGCGAGCCACAGGTGGAATCTTGAAATGATTATGAATCGACAAGACTACTTGATGGTGTTTGAATATATAACCCAGAGCTAGCGGACAGGATGTCCTGTCCAACGGGAAGTCTCCAGGTAAGAACCGTACCTGATCGTTATTTGGAGGATTGGGCCGAGACTGGTCTCTAGAGCGCACCACTGCTTCCTCTGACAGCTGCCTTGTGCTTGCGAAGTCTGGAGCCAACCACCCCGGCGCACCTGCCCACAAAAATGCCCCTGGTAGTGGGAGGCTGATGAGTGCGAAAAAATGAATCGCAGACTCACAGCATGGCAAAGCCGAAAATGCGTGCGCAATTGGTGTCGCAGCATGGAAAAGATTTGAGGTCTCCGCACCGGCACTCGGCATTTTGCTAACGTGCGTCAGGCTAGCGCGACAGTGGTCTGATTCGCGATGTCCAATGCACCCCGGAAGCCACAAAGATCGAGAGAGGCTGCGCGGGCTTGGATGGAGTCTCGACTGCACATCATGCACCCTCCCTCAGCTTCTTCCGCCGGCAGGGACCCTGGGCCGGAACATACCAGGCCTGAGAAACAGCTCGCAGTTCTCAAATATGCAGATCTACCCTCTGCACACACAACAGACGACACCCACGTCATTTTGCAATAATGGCGATCCCTTCCCCTTCCACTCCGACTATGCCTGAGTTGAGCGAGGTTCTCGAGCGCATTGGCCTCTCGACATATCACCAGATATTGTCCGACAACGGCTTTCACAATTGGGAAACCGTAGTCGACATCACTGAAGAAGACCTTACTACATTGAACTTCAAGCTTGGCCACCGTCGAACTTTGCAGCGAGAGATTGCTACCTGGCGTGGAGTACCACAGACACTATCCTTGGACCTAGATGCTACTTCGCCTGAACCAACATCTCTCTCAATATCTGCCTTGGAGACATTAGCACGACAACAATCCACACCGCCGCCACGAGAGAAGAGGAGATATAGACGCCATCCACGAGCAGACTCCAACGCGCCAAAGAAACCTAAGACAGCTTGTACGCCATACATCCGATCAGTGCCCCATACGAATCTGACAGAATATAGATGTAAATTTTGCTGATCAGCTACGAACTGACCCTCAAGTCAGCCAACTCTCTTTTGTACACATTGCCAGAGAGGTTGGCCGAAGATGGCAGGAGCTTCCACCAGAGCAGAAGCGGGTGTGGGAGAGCAATGCTGCACGAGCCATGCAGGAGTACGAATCTCAGATGGACGAGTACAAGAAGACTGATGACTGGCGCAAGTACCAAGTGTACTTGAACGACTTCAAAGCACAGCAGTCACAGCCAACTAACGGAAAGCGAAATGCCGTCGGCCGCACCATGAGCCACAGCACCAGGGAACATTCACGGGCAAGCCCTGAATCACCAGAGAGTCCTGGATCCTCAATACCCTCGTCTGTTTCGTCATCTGGGACTGATGCCGAAGTGTGCCACAACGCTCTGACTCTGGCGTTCAGCGAACTTATATCGCTAAGAGGAGAAATCCTTACTCAAGCTATACAACCTTACGACGAGAATCATCTGCCATCTGAAGAGCTGGCGAGACGATCTATGTATGCCTTCATTCGAGGAACAGGATCACTGGTGTTCACGTGGAGCTATGAGCAGGCAAATGAGATCCTCGATCGCATATACAGACCCAAAGGCAAGATTGATGCCATAGATCTGGCAGAGTGCTTTACCATCGCTGCTATGGGCGCTCACTACGATATGGAATGCTTTCCAGACCGCATAAGAAGAGTTTTGTATGCGTCCGGAACCCTTCATTTCCATGAGAAGACTGCGAGGACCGACTACCTGCGCACGATGCGTTTGCTGCTGTCCATGTCCTTCTACGCTCTACTTGAAAAGCACATGAGCGCAAGGTATCTGATCGGTATGTACTATGTCACACTTGCTCCACCAACACGCTAAGCAAATTGCAGCTGCCGGCCTGCTAATCGCACGTTGGAAGTGCCCACCCCTACATCGTTCAGCTGCAGGCGCTATAGACGAGAACTGGCGCAAGGTCTATCGAAGTTTGATCTTCATGGACAGTTGGCTTTCGTACACACTTGGCTACAGCTCAGAAGCCACTCCTCAAGACGTTTCAGTACGCATGAGCCCCAACAACGACCATAGTGTGTCTGACCAGAAACAGGTTGCTTGCACTCCTGATCGCCTGGCTTCAGACACGATTGACGAGCTCATCCACACGCAGACTAGCAAGATTGGGTTGATTGCAGCCGAGATTGCAAAGACCTTGGCTGCGCCCGAGCTTGCTACTCGCGAGAACGTGGACATGCTCACACAAAAGCTGGAGATCTGGCGCACTGAAGTGCCGCTGACCCTTCAACTTCCAACGCTTACCTCGGAGGCGCCCTCGGATCTATCGCTGTACCAAAGGCGAGCAATACTCATGGTACACGTAAGCTTTCAAACTCATACCCAGTGGGTGTCTATGAGCTGACAGTGCTGCTAGATCATGTACTTAGGTGCCGTCATTCTTATCTACCGCCAATTGCTGGTAGCGACTGCAGAGGGCCAGCTTACAGATGGCGCTTCGAACAGTCTGACATTCTCTGGCCATGATGCACGGCGATTCAGGAATGAATGTGCCATAGCAGGTCAGACAATAGCACGCATCCTGCGTTTGATAGCTTTCGATGGCACGTTGACCAGGCGTTGCTGGCTGATCATGTAAGTCTTTGATTGCCGGGCTTTAGATGATGCAACGGACTCATCTGACATTTACAGCTACTGGGCGTTCACTGCGGCCATTGTCCTCCTCCACAGCGTTTCGACCAAGCTCCTCGATGGTCAGGCTGACGGTGTTGAGACGGACCTTGGCTTTGCCAAAGAATGCATGGACATGCTCGAGCCTTGTCGCAGCGTCGAGCCCATCGCAGCCAAATACCTGGACACTCTATGGCCACTGTACGACGCCCTCCGCGATGTACATCAACGCATGATCGGTCGTGCGAAGACCAGCATCTTCTCCCTTCTGCAAGCTGACCCCAACCGAATGAGCCCTCCACTTGCTGTCTCGAAACATGAGATGGGCCCGATCTCTGAGAAGCTTTCTATTTTGCTCACGGATCCTTTCGGTCGCAAACAAAACTTTACAGCTGACGGGAGTATGAGGCGTTTACTAAATTCCGATGGTTCTTGTTCCGTTTTCTGGTGGAAATGAAGCAACTGCAGCGCTTTTTGTCATTTACTCAGCCACAATTGCAGCTGATTCATAGTTTCATATATAGAGATACCCAATGATACAATGATAGCGCTTTCTGCGACCACAGCAGCAGATGATTTTGCTTTGCAGTGGAGTCTTGCAACACCCTTTTCGCCATCTGTTGACTCGGCAGTGAGACCCGTGTCACCAGCAGAGTCTCCGCGGTGTTGCTATCCATAGCAAATTCTTATCGACCGGACCAAAGTCCGACGCACGCCATACAACTTGTCGATTGTTAGTGTTGCGGTTAGTCGGTACCTGACTAGTGAAGAGGTTCAGCGGCGGCGTTCTAGACATAACTGAGCTTCTGAGTCTATCGATGAACACACGAGGTATATGAGCACCTGACTCTGCAACGTGAAGGACGAAAACACAGCAGTTATGTGAGGTCGCAGCATCAAAGGTACCTGAGAAAATGGTTCCGTCACTATGGATGGAGAGCCGCAGGAAAAAGCCACCACTTTGCGTTGCAGATCACGGGCGCTCCCGTAGCGCACTCCCAGAACGCTATTTTTGCTCGAGCTAGACCTGGCGTCGAGATATGGTGCAGAACCTTGGTTTCGATAAAGGCTACCAGCTGTTGACATGTATACCAATATGTACTGTTCGATTCGCTAGGTCTCAGGCCAGTTGGAACAGTGTCGAGAGCACGTTGCAAGATCCCTTGATGCGATCTCAGCCTCACTAGCTGCAGTCGATAGACCGAGAGAGGTGATGTACGGGTGAGCAGGTGCAAATTCGATACCTCAGGACCAGGAACTGAACAGGAAATGGCATCATACAATCATAGCCCGAGCGCCACCCTTAATTGCGATGAACTTAATCTTCAACAAGCCGCGCAAGCTACAACTATCGTTATAGAAACGCGTTTCAGCTTCCAAGCAAACATGTCACTCTGGCCAGCAACATCCCAAACAAACACCATGTTCTGAAGATCGTCGAGCCCGCGTGTCGTCGATCCAGGGGGTGTTGCGTGGTATACCATGATTGTGCTTTCTATCTGGAGAAACAGCGCCCCACAGAGCGCCTATCGCAGTTTCTTCCCACAATCATACCTTCCGCAACCACCAACACGTCATCAACATAGATAGTAGTTGGCGTGACCGTTCAACTGTAGAAGAGCTCACCGTCGCGCCGTAAAGCACGTTTCTGATAGCGTGGAACGCTTGATGCGCGCTGTGGCGCATTTGCCGTGTGGTCGGAGAGTTTGGTGTGGTGCGGTGTAGCTCGATTGGGAAAGGGGAAGGGTCTCGATTCAGAACGCCCTCTCGCGGGTCAAGGAAAGTGTGCAGCGATGTGGGTCGGGCCTCAACCCGCCCTGTGGAAAGCAGCGTCATTTCGTTGAAATAAGGAAAGGGTTCCCTCCAACCGCTTGCCCGTTGACGTCTGTTGTTTCCTTACTTCCTCTCGTTATCGTTCACCTTGGAGTACGCGTGGTGCTTGGAAGAGCAACGAGGGCCAGATAGGAATACCGGAGCTTATCGATGCGCACGCAGGGATACCAGCCAATCACAGATCACCATGTTGGACCAGGAGAGTGAGGAACTTAGCCCGTTCGTGATCCCACAGGAGGATGTCGAAGTACTCAATGCCTCTGAGGGCTTTTGCATATTGAGGAACTACCTCGCAAGGGATATCAGGTACGTTCCCCCTTGTTCAAATCTCGCCGGGCTGAACCAGAACCCTTACTAACCCCTCATCAGCTTCTGTGCACAGCACGATGAATGCGATACACAGACCAAAGAAACATGGATTCTGCACCGCGACCTGCTGCATGCGCTGGTGATGCCGGTGCTTGAGCTGTTCAACCGAGCTTCGGCACTTGCTGAGGCTGCGTTGTGTACCCACAAAAGCGAAGATCTTGAGTTAGCGTTTGCTGGGGAGGCACGTGGAGCATTCCTATGTCTGCAATGCTTTGTCGATGAGGAGGAGGACTGGTGCAGGACACGGGGGTGTCCGGGTACGTTCATAAACTGTTACCGCAACGTGCCTACGATACTAACAAGTCACAGCTTGTATCACATCTACAACCCTCAGCACAGAATCCCACCTGCGCCTCACAATCGCCGCATCCCTCCTCTCCACATCATCTGTCGCTACACTAGCCACATCGCCGTCAACTTCCGAAGAGCCATCGACATCTCGCGCCCTTCCTCCACTACCACACATCCTCCCCGCCCTCCGCGATGCCCTTTCCTCAGACCCCTTCTGGGGCCCTGACCACTGGCCATATCTTCTCTCACGGGCCACCCAACTATCCACCGGCATCCAAGCCCTGATCGCTGAATGCGTAAATCTCGAGTCTCTCGTCTCATCACCTGTCGCTGACCGCACCGCCTTCATCGGAGGGAAGCGCAGTTTCACGACACCTGGACTGCAGTACATGACCGCCCAGGGCGAGAAGAAGGGCGTCAAGCTCAGGAAGAGCAAGCTTGCCAAGAGGCAGCTGAGGTTGGAGAGGGAGGAGATTGAGCTCATGAGGAGGGTGGCGATGCAGTGCTGGGCTAAGGCAAAGCTGCCCAAGGGTGTTAGGAGCGAGATGCTGGGACAGAGTGGGGAGGATAGCCGGAGAAGGAGGAGTCTAACTTGTCCATAGATATTAGGTACGGGTAAGGGGTTTGGAGTCCATATGGGTATGGCGTTTTGGGTTTGGGCTGCATGAGATACCACAGCATTGCTTGCTTTGGAGAGACACTTGGGATTCGATTTTGTCTAAGTGGACAGTTCTTCACATTCTTTTTAATGTCACTGCATTGGAAGATTTGAGATCTTGGAATTCAGTTGAAGTACTTATCATTCCCCGCCCTGTGCAATAATTCAAAATCTTATAGCTTAGCACCAACCACACTCCCACCATCCAACGCAATCGTGGCGCCATTGACGTATGACCCAGCTCTCGAGCTCAGCCATATACATGTGCCTGCAACGTCCTCTGGGCTTCCAATCCGCCCCAAGGGAATACCACTTTCGATGACATCCTTGAACTTCTCCAACGTCGCCTTCATCATCTTACTCTGGAACGGCCCACAGGCAATGGTGTTGCTCGTAATACCCCTCTTACCAAGGTGACTTGCTAGCACGCGGCTCATGTGGTGTAGACCCGCTTTCGAGGCGGAGTAGGCGAAGGTCTCAAGGGCCGGGACACGAAGGCCGTCGACGGAACCGATGTTGATCACTCTCGAAGGCGAGGTAGAAGTCTGTGCGGTTTCGAGAAGGGGTGTAACGGCTTGGGTGAGCTGGAAGATACGCTTTAGGTTGAGAGTGAGGACGCGGTCCCACGCTGCTGAAGGGTAGGTGTCGTAGGACTCGCCCCAGTTGCTGCCGCTGTTGTTTACGAGGACGTCGAGTTCTGTCGTTGTGTCAGCTATGACTTTTTGTTCTAGTACTGTGGCACCACGTACTTCCTGCCCTCTTCTTCAGCTCATCGGCAATCTTTGTGATATCCTCCTCCTTGTACAAGTCGGCAGCAATGAAATCAGCTTTCCCTTTGCCGAGCGCATTGAGCTCTTTGCACGCTTGCTCGCAAGCCTTTGCGTCGCGAGAGGAAACGTATACGTTCGCGCCGTTCTGCACGAAGCCCTCGCTGATCATGCGACCGATGCCTTTGGCACCGCCGGTGACGAGCACGATCTTGCCCTACAAGTTGTTAGTGAACCTAGAGTTGAGAGTAGATGCACAGTGGGTGCTTGCCTTGACATCGAAGAGGTTTGAATTGTCCATTTTGTCGAGTTGTATGATTGTGGGAAATAGAGTAGTGGAAAGATAGGAGTCACAGTCAAGAAGCTGTTCGATTCACTGCGATCGCGGTCGTCATCCGAAGTCTAGAAAGCTGGGGATGAGCCGAGGCACGTCTTTTTGAGGTTAGCGTGTTTTCCTGATCGACCACCCTGTTGGGTCAGGTATATCGTCGTCTCCTAGCTAGATAGCAATACAGTGCAGTATTCCATCGACCCGATAGTCCTACGTTATCGTTTACCGTAGCTATCAGTATTCTACAGCGGTTCATACTGCTGCATTTTTCCATGCTTCTAGCCAATGCTTTCTGCGAACACACACAGTTAGCTCGCTCTCAACAAGCGTTCGACAAGGCATTGAAAGCCAACGCGCATCGTCCGTAAAATCTCCTCTAAGCCCAGTTGATCCTCGTGGGCAACCTTGTTGACCTTGACAGTAAGCCACGACCATGTACTAAGAGAGGGCCGCCATGTGCCAAATGCGTTGCAGGGGAGGACGATTCTGGTTGATTTGACTGAGTCTCACTGGGTTGAGCCTTGTCAATAAGTTCTTGTTCAAGCGACTGTTGAATGTCGAGCTCGTTGATTAGAGGGATATCTGGGTATAGAATGTTGCCTTGGTTGGTTGAAGTTGTAAACTCATCCTCATTGTCAGATTGTTGAGGTGTTTTGTCCTGTGGGACCATAACTGCTTCATCATCGCCTAGAGCTGATGGGGATGGGGTGAGGAGCTGATTGTTGGCTGGGCCAGAGCCTTGAACCTTTTGTAGAGGCATTTGTACACCCCCTACGTGAGTAGCATCTTGAGCTGACTCAGGTGTACTGTGGGCTTGTTGGAGGAGTTAGAGTTCTTCAATTGCGTAGTCCTCAGCATGTTTAGAATGCTCGGCGAGGTCACCCTCTACATCTGCAATGTAATCCATGGCTAGCCCAGAAGCTCCCTCTCCTTCCCCGATGTAGACCAGGACCCTGTCAGCAGTGTTGTGTATTCGTTTCATGAGCTGAACCTGCGTGTATGGTAGAAATTTTGATCGCAGGTGTGGAGAAGTGTTGTTGTCGATCAACGTCACCCGATCTGCGAAAGAACGAAGCCATTCACCCATCTTGTCGAGTAATCCCCGATGTTGGCCATAAATGTTTCAAACAATTAGGGTGCCGAAACATATGAAACCAGACACAGAACAGCAGGAAGGTCGGAAGAAGACCAGCTCCGCGCTCAGCCCCGCGCATCACGCTAGGCAGCAACGGTGAACTGTATACCTGCAGTACCTGTCTCATTCAAACACTTTTTGAACAGGCTATCTGTATTTCAGAGGTCGCGGTTGAGAAAGAAGGACTGAAGTACTCTTTTACAAGCTACAAGCACCTAACCCACCTCTCTCTCCTCGTCCTTCCCTCATACACCCTCTCCATATCTTTCCACTCAACATCATTGACCTCGCCCCAAGCTCCAATACATTGATACCGCCTTTCCTTTTCCCCCTTATCTTCCTTCCTCCGCCGGACCCATGCTTTCTCTCCACCTCTCAATCGGATATACTCCCCCTCCCTCCCCCTTGCCTTCTTCTCCATCTTCCGACGCATGGATTGGTATTCCGCATGTTGTCGAGTGTAGCTCCTCTGCCACCCTGATTCCGACTTCGATCCGCTAGAATCATATATGTTGTACGCTTCGCCCTCCATATTCCCGATATCGATATGTACTGCGCCAGCACTGCTCCCGCGACTTGCCTGAGTCATATCTTCGTCGAGGGAGATGTGCGCTACGTCCGCAGCGAAGCTCACGCTTTTCCTCCTTCCCGCTCTCAGTCCAGCAAGTGCGAACCAGTCTGGGCGACTCGAGCTCCTACCCCTAGAGCCAGTGCGCCTCTCCGAGCTGCTCCGAGATTGCCTTCTACCACGTGAAGTGCGCGTGCGGCGTCCGACATGTGAAGTCCTCATGTGCGCGTACACCTGTAACGAACTTGGCACCCTCTCCTCTAACACGACCTCCACCGCTGAGGCTCGATCTGTTTCGGGCGATGGAGTCCATGGTCGATGTGGACGTGTCCATGATACATATGGACGGTTGGTACTTGGTCTGCACGGGCTTCCTGGAGCGTTTGGGAAGTGGAGTGGGGATGGCATTTGTGGAGACGGTTCAGTTAGCAGGCTAGAGTCTGCGTCGTAGTGAGATCCAGCATAGTAGTGGTGATGTGAGCTGTGTGATCCGTCGCTGTAGTTGTGAATGGGTGTGTGGTGTGGTGACATGTCTTATTGGACTTGACAGGGTGGTAAGGGTTACAGCAACATGTCTCAGATTGATACGGCGTGGGCGCAGTCTTAGGTACGTGAGGTGTTGTTGTTCTGGTGTTTTGCGTTTGCCTGCTATCAATGGTACAAAGATGGTGAGTACAATTGTTGGTCTTGATTGTGATCGAGCAAGCAGTCGTGAGGAGCAGCAGTGTTTGGCAACAGGAGGATGGCAGACACGTTTTGCCAAATGGATTCGATTCGTTGAAGCGACGAATGAAAGAAAGATTCAGGGTATACTTAGCTTTGTAGTGGATTATCCTACAACAAGCAAACCTGCATCAACTGGTGCCTACAACTTCGCACGACGCTGCAGGTACGCCCTGACACCAATGGCGGCTGCTCGCTGTTAGTCTATCTTCAGTCTGACAACCGGGTATATCCAACTCTATTCCCATAACTCCTCCCGAACAAGATATATGCGCGCAATAGGTAGGTGATATCACTTACCAACAAGCACAGCCAACCCCTTCAACCCAATCAAACCCAAAAACCACCCACCCCACCCAATCGTCCGTCCCTGGCGATCAAAGTTAGGCTTGATCTCGTTCATGCCCGAGAACTTCTTCAGCTTCGCGCTCGTATACGGCGGATACCTGACATCCATCAAGCTCTCGATCCAGGCTGGTGTGGTTGTCACACTGCGACGATGTGTGAAGACGTCGAAGGAGGCTTTGCCGCGGTAGGCACCTTGGCCGGAGGAACCGACGCCGCCGAATGCGAGCGTGGGGATGGAGGCGTGGAAGAAACCGTCGTTGAGGGAGGCGCCACCGGAGCGTGTTTGGTCAAGGACTGCAATTGTTAGCCAGATAGAGGTGGGCGAAGGAAAGAGGGATTTACTCTTGTGCATCTCTGCTTTTGTACCGAAGGCGTATGTGCCGAGGGGTGTGTCGTGGACTTCATTTGCAATCTTGATGGCTTCGTCAAGGTCGGTAACGGGCAGGATGGGGAGGAACGGGCCGAAGCTTTCGTCGCGGAGGAGTGCATCGTCAACGCTGTCTACTTGGACGACGGTAGGCTCGATGAAGAGGTCGTCTTCGTCCATGGTGCCGCCGACGACAACCTTGCCGTTGCTGGAGTCCAGCATCTTCTTGAGGCGCTGGAATTGCTTCTGGTTGACGATGCGGCCGTAGTCGGGCGAGTTGCGTGCACCGTTGGGGTAGAACTCCTTCAGGGCGTTCTTAATCTCCTGGATGAATGCTGGGACGAGCTCGCGGTCGATAAATGTGCAGTTCTGGCTGACGCAGACCTGGCCCGCGTTCAACGTCTTCGCCCACAACAGACGCTTTGCGGCCAGCTTGGGGTCTGCATGCTTGGTGATGATGGCTGGGTTCCTGCCGCCGAGCTCGAGTGCCAGTGGTGTGAGTGTCTCAGCCGCCTTCTTTGCGATGATGCGTGCCACGCCCTCTGATCCTGTGTAGAAGATCTTGTCCCACTTCTCCTCAAGCAGCGCCGTCGTCTCTGGGATAGCGCCCTGAATGCACGTGTAGCAGTCGGGGTCCAGCGACTCGGCCATGATCTTCTGCATAACACTCGCCGCGTAGGGCGCCGACTCAGAAGGCTTGATGACAGCCGTGCAACCCGCAGCGATGGCGCCAATGAGCGGTCCAATTGTCAGTTGGATGGGGAAGTTGTATGCGCCGATGATGAGCGCAGTACCGAGCGGGTCTTTGCGAATCCTGGGCCCCATGAACTTGTTGGTGAAGGCAATGTCTGCGGGCTTCTCGTCCTTTGCGAAGCGCTCAATGTTGTTTGCCATCCACACGCAGTCGTTCATGACCCACGAGATCTCGGTCAGGTAGGTCTCGAACTGCGACTTGCCTAAGTCGTGCTTGCATGCCTCCTGAATAAGGTCTGCATTGTCCTTAAAGGCCCAGTACAGCTTGCGCAACTGTTGGATACGGAACTCCAGCGGGCGCGTCTTGTGCGAGAGAAAAGTTTGTCGGACTGTCGCACATGTCGGTGCAATCTTGTCCATGGACGTGTGCTCAAACGAAGGGATCTTTGATGCTGCCATAATGCACTCAGTTGACTGCGATACAGCAGAACAGTATAGGTTGAGTGGTAAGCTCCGTGAGGGGTCCAGAACGCCTTATGAGCTTTCCATATCCCTGACACGCTCTGGCAGGGAACAGCTCCACTCCGCTCCTCCATGCCTCGGCTGAGCTGACTAGCGCGAATCCGTGGACGGCCTCGAAGGAAACCCTGCCCACATGTTCGTCCGCCTTCCTCTTTCTCCATATGGAGCTCAAAAGAGGCCGAGATCAGCGACTGCATGAAGCAACGTTCGCAGAACGCGTCGTTCCCTATTCCTTACTGCATCGATTTGACTGTCTCTATGAACGTACACTAGAATCTCACTGTCATCGCTGACGCCGTGTTTCAGCCCAACATGTCATCCAGCAACCACGGACTGGCGCCGTTCATGAATCATGTAGATTCGTCCACACGGTCTCACTAACCTCACTTTTACCTTTCAATCACGATTCTTCATCGCTCAAAAGCTTCACTGTAGTTCGGCATTTGAAATAATTAAGTTTGGGCAATTAACATGCATAATTGATACGATCTTGCGTGAGTGCTCGAAAGGAGGAATGGATGCAGATCGAGTGGGCTAGCGGGAGTCTCCGTGTATATCTCATTACGAGATGCTTTGATCGTTGACAGATATGCAGCCTACTGTTCTTCGCAATTATCATTCTAGCTACCAATGTCTTCCTGCGGCCCAGCAAAATAAGGGATGTCGTTAGGCAGATCATACGGATCCCTCAACGAGTACTGATAGAAGTCACTAGCCTTGAAGACTCGGTCTGCGTTGACGTCCAACATCCTCTCCCCCCTATCGTCCTTGAATTTGACCCAATTCGTCTTGATGGACGCATTTGGACCCGCCACGATCGGGTCGAAGACATTCTCGTAGTACGAGTGCTCAACGAGCAAGTTCGTATGCCCTCTCGCATACGTGCCGTACGATGTGCAGTTGCGGAAGTAGTTGTTGTACATATGGCACGCTTCGAGGTTGTCAGCGGAGGGGTTGCGTGCGTTGGTTGAATTGAAGAAGTTGTCATTGATGGTAACTTTTGCTGTGACGTTGGTGGTCCAGCCAATGCCGAGGGCTTTGTTGTGCTCGGAGTGGATGCAGGAGGAGACTGTGATATAGGTGGAGTCGCGGCGGAGGTCGATTAGGCCGTCGTTCATGCGTGCAAACTGTGAGAGTAAGTATTAACTTAGAGAGGAGAGGTGTGGAAAAGTGTATACTGTCATATGGTCGATCCAGATGTTTGTACCGTTGTCGACTTGGATGCCGTCCCAGTCTTCGGTCTTGCCTGGCCAATCTTCTGATATTCGTGTATCGCTGACTTGCAGATTGCGAAGGATGATGTTTCGAGTGCCCTTGACGGCAAAGCCTCCGCCGATGACTTTGGCAGTCTTCCCTACTCCGATAATCGTTTTGTGGCTAGCGATGGGGATCTCGTAACCCTTGGGCTCTGCTATCAAGGTACCGTTGACTCTGATGATGAGACTGCCGTTTTGTCCAGCATAAGACTTGAGCTCTTGATAGGTGTTGGCGTATACAATCCTCCCGCCCTTTCCACCTGTAGTACCACCGTTAAGGGAGGCAAAGCCGTGAGCTGCATCTTCGCAATGTAGGCACGTGGTTTTCTGGGCAAATGCGTGCGTCGTGAGAAGCAGCAGGGCTGCTGTCGTCAATTGCATGGTGGACAATCTGAAAGTAAGGACCAATGATGGACAAATCGACCGGCTTCACGTCTCTAATGTAGTTGATGCATACCGATACCCGCTTCTGATACAAAGCATCACATTTCCTTTTTCCTTGAATTTGTTGACAGTTAACCAGTGAATTGGCGGGTGGCCTCATGGTGCCTTCTCGGCAGCAATTGTCCCATGATGGTCAGTCTTATGGATTGTAGCGTAACAAGGGGTGTTTTCTGGCGACGTCCATGTAGCAGATCCACCAATAGGACACGAGCCAAGGCGTCGAACCATCTCCGTGCACCTGGTAGGTTTGACGATCAGATACCCACCGGAGTGTGGGGTTATGTGATGAGCTTGCGGGGAAGGGACTTCATCCAAGCTGTGATGGTCCTGGCGACTCAGTGGTCAGGTCTATTTTTCCAGGTTGCAAACGGTGGCTGTTGGTTCAAGATTACCGAACAGTGCCGCTTAGTATTACACAGAGCTTCGAAAGCCCTTTTCAGCTCGCCATATCGAGCTGTGTTAGTACATCGACGCTCACATGCCCATTCGTCACGCCCAGCCAAAGCCCAAGTTTACCACCGGCTCTTTACGATCTCGTGAAGACGTCCATTGTTGTGATGAGCATTCACAGTTTTTCCTCGAATCAGGAACATTGGTAGACGAGGCGTGCAGTGCTGCGGCAATCCGGGATAGCTGGTGTCGTGGAGATGGTGAAGGATTCGAGCATTCGGGCTAGTTGACATGCAGGAAAGTGCGGGGTCTAGCTTGGCGCTAGTACCTCGTAGCTCCTCCCAAGACGTGAGTGATGGAAGTTGCATCCTTCGTCCATCACACAGGCTTATTCTCGAAATGCAGTATAACAGGCGCCAAAGTTGTGTCGAGGCGGGCAACATGCTGCCCCTCTTTCTGAAAGCTCGACCTCATAACAGAAACGACACGTGACACTTACTGCGACTGCCTTGTGGCGTGAACCATGGGAAAGGGCAACACCTATGCGTGGTATGTGTGCATGGTGGTGGCTACAACAATGATCTTGTACGGCTATGACTCTTCGACATTCAATGCTGTACAAGGCTCGAAACATTGGGTGGCATACTTCCATAAGCCCAGTCCGAGCGTAATAGGGTCCATTAACACTGCGTACAATGTCGGTGGCATCATTGCTGGTAAGTAATTGAAGAGTGTAATTACAGACAGAAACTTATTCTAAACAGGTGTCTTCATGTCTGCACCAATCTCAGATCGCTTTGGTCGTCGATGGGCCATCATCACTGGCTGCGTGATCGTGATCATCTCAACATTCATCTCGACCTTCACACCTCGCAACATTGGTGGATTCATCGCCGGACGTGCCATTGTCGGTATTGGACAAGGTATCGCTCTTCCAGCTGGCCCAACGTATATCAGCGAGATCGCGCCTGCAGAGAGCCGAGGAAAGATTATGAGCTTCTGGTAACATCCGCAATCTGTGAGTTTAATGAATGCTACTAAATCTATATTAGGCAAATGAACTTCAGCGTGGGGAGCTTTTTGGCTTACTGGATCAACTACGCTTGCACCAAAAACGCGGCCAAGCTGGGTGACTGGGATTGGAAAACTGTCCAAATTTTCCAACTCCTAGCGCCTATTCTAATCATTATTGGAATCACGTTCTGTCCTGAATCACCCCGTTGGCTCGTTAAGCATGACCGTTTGGAAGCTGCCGTGAAGGCTTTGTCCAAAGTGCGCGACAATCCGGAACGTGTTCAACACGAGATCAGTGACATTTCACGCGCCCTGCAATTCGAAAAAGACGAAATCTCCTCAGGATATTCCGCACTCTGGAAGGACGAGTCAATCAGGAAAAGACTGTGTAAGTTTGCCGTTGTGGCTGTGATTCTGGTAACTAATAATCTTCAGTGCTTTGTATCCTGCTCAACATCGGCCAACAACTTACGGGCCAGGGGTCGCTCAACAACTATTCTACAAAGATTTATCAGTCGGTGTTCACTGATAACGACACGATCCAGCTCATCAATGCACTCAATGGCACCTTCGGTATCCTCTTCACACTCAACGCCACTTGGACTGTTGACAGATTCGGTCGCCGCTTCTTGTTCCTTGTTGGTGCTGTCGGCATGGCTGCATGCATGATCACGGCAGCCGCTGTTGTCACAGAGACCCCCGGAAGCCTTAGCGCAGGGAAACCACGCAGCGTCGGCATCGCCACGGTCTTCCTGATGTTCCTTTTCGCTTTTTTTTTCAAGCCGTCGTGGGGCGCGACAGTCTGGATCTGGACCGGAGAGATCTTCTCGATGAATGTTCGCAACCAAGCCATTGCCATATCATCACAGTTCCAGAATGTCGCAAACGTCTGTCTTCAGCAAGCATTTCCAGTGTTCCTAGCTAATGAGGGCTTCTACGCCATGTACATGTTCGGTGCCATCAACGTGGTGCTGTTTGCTTATGTCTGGTTCTTTATTGCGGAGACGAAGAACGTCAGTCTTGAAGAGATGGACATCATCTTTGGCGGCGCGAATCATGTTGAGAACGCTGAGTTGAGCAAGGGGACTGCGGAACAGATCGAAATTGCTACAGCTGAGACAATCGTTATGGCGGCTCCGAAGCGAAACCCGTAGGTTCTGGTCCTTCGAAGAGTGGCGGAGTGCTGAATAACGGATTAAATCAGAGCGGCACTAGTACAGCAATGGCAATTCGTGACAGCGTCCTTTCCGTCTGTCTCCCCTTCTTGTTTTATGTTTACGAATGTCCTCGGCACTCTCTCGACTCCGCTCGCCCATTATCGTCGCCCAGCACCATGGGGGCACAATCTGGGAGTTCCAACCCCTATACATGTCGGTTGCCTGCTGCCGCCAGGACGCCACACGAGGCTTAAGGCGGATGCGGCGTCCTCCTGCTTGCCCCTGCGGCTGAAGTGCACCAAGTCCAGTCCGGTTCACCGAACCGGCATTGGATTGAGTCCGATTCAAACAGCTGCACCTCGTAATGGCCAGATTTGGAGCTGTTAGGAACTTACTGCGTCCAGTATGCCGACAACATGGACGAAAGTAGCCTATCACATACGACCGCCATCGAATATATGATCTGCAAATGCTAACTGCAGCCACAGATAAGTATGTCATAGTTGATCCTATCAGAATTTACGGCTACTAGGATCACTAGCCAAGCGAATTGCGTATGCTAAGAACCTTGGAGCTTTCAAACCTCCACAACCACACGCTGACTTACGAGCAAGACTTTGTCCATCTGCATTAGAGCGCAAAGTCAAGATCTTGTACCTTAACGTTTGTCCTGGTGGCCAGAGCATGCGCACTCGTACTCCCATCAGATCGCCGACCCAAGTACCCTCTTCTTGGGTCCGTAACGCAAGATGACGCTGATCATCACTAAGGGACAGCGGATTGTCAGGCACAATTACGATGGAGCGGAACTTGGTATCTTTGACAGTGCCTTCGTGCGACTGATTTCTGCGGGCTCATACAAGTCATTTCATGATGCTGCTGCCCAAACGGTCGCAAAAGGATTAGGGCAATTATTAGGTATAGAGCTCCGCGTGGACAACATTGATGTGAGGATGTTCGTATTGCTTCGGCCGCGGCTCTCAACAGCATGCAATTGATTCACCCTCTCAGGGTCGAACGCTTTTCCAGTGCTTTCGGATGTGGTCGTTAGCATGACGGAAGTGGCCCTCACCGCGCCAATATCTGGGATGCGCGGTCAGTATAGACTTTCTCGATTAGCAACGTCAACGGCGAGCCTCCAAGATGTCGCGGCACCGTGGGGCATGGCATCTAGAAGTGGATACTCATCTATAAGAAGTGGGGGATGGCATGCATTGTTCTGGACTCACAACGGTGATCTTTGCTCCTACTTCGACCTCTCATCAACTCGAGATCACATCAACCACTTCAATAAATCACACTTCAGACACCTACAACCATGAACAGCGAAATAGAGACTTCTGGGCAAAGTACGCCCGACCAGAAGAGGAGACAGACTCGTCACCATCAGTTCTTGAGAAGATTGAACAAGTCGATAATGTGGGAACTTCAATTGCCGTTTATGCAGAGACAGAGAAAAGACTTCTGAGGAAACTCGATATCCGCATCATTCCTATGATCAGCTGGATATACTCGATGAACTTCATGGATCGAGGTATGTGTGATGCGCAACACGCCATTCTTCCTTGCTAATGGATGGTAATCACCATTGGTAACGCCCGCCTTTACGACTTGGAGGAAGACCTCGGCATGCCGCCTGATAGCAATCAATACCAACTTGTCGTCGGCATATTGTTTGTCACGTACTGTGTAAGCGACCATGCCTCCATCGGTACACGATCGGACACTGACCCGTGGATAGCTGTTTGAGACACCATCCAACATGATTATCAAGAGGCTGCAGCCAGCTCGATATCTGGCTGGTTTAGTCTTCTTCTAGGGCCTTGTAGCCATGTTCACTGACTTTTGCAATAACCTTGCTGCGCTGGTGGCTTGTCGACTTCTCTTGGGTGTGTTCAAAGCCAGTCTATTCCCAGATGTCATTCTCTATCTCTCCATGTTTTACAACAAGAACGTGTCGTTGCGCAACACCTAATTCTACGGCACCAATGCAATATCTGGTGCACTTGGCGACCTTGTGGCGTATGCGATCGGATAATTGGACTACGCTGGAGGTTGGAGGCGAGCTCACAATGAGAGCACGTTTCACAACACGCACTAACAAATCGCAGAGGTGGGAGAAGGATCATTGTGATCAACGATATCTTAACAGTCTTGACCGCCTTCGTCGTACCCTTCGTGCTTCTGAACAGACCCGAAACCGCTAGCTTTCTGACTGAAGAAGACCGTCATAACCTTGTGCTGCTCCGAGAGCTCGAAGTTAGCCAAGCGAAAGTCGCACAGATGCTCCACAAGGATGATGTCAAAGCCGCAGCCAAAGATTGGAAGACTTGGGCTTCTGCCATCGCGCAGTTCAGCGGTCTGGGCATGTTGTACAGCTTTTCTGTCTTCCTCCCGACCATCATTTTTGAGATGGGCGGTGGCTGGGATCGACAAATCGTCCAAGCCCTTACCATCCCCGTCTACTTCCTCGGCTTTAGTTTCTATATTGGCAGCGCCTACTACAGCGATAAGATTCAGCTACGTGGCATCTTCTGCGTAGGCGGCTTCTTGACGTACATGGTGGGGTACATCTTCCTCATAGCAAACCAAGGAGTTGGCCTCAGTTTCGCTGGCTGCTTCATCATGGCCATGGACTCTGGACGTCGACTGGTACGGCGATGACATGGCTTGATGTCAACAGCCCACGCTACGGCAAACGAGCCTTCGCCAGCGGTATGCAAATTACCATCGGAAACGCTGCAGGCGTTTCGACACCGTTCCTGTTCAATAACGCAGATGCGCCAACGTACTATCCTGGTTATAGTGCGACGATTGCACATCTTGCGCTTAGCGCTGGCATCTATGCCACTCTGCACTTCTGGCACCGTAAAGAGAACAAGAGGAAGCTTGAGGGTAAGGAGGACTACAGATTGGAGGGCTTGTATGAGAAGGAGATTGCGGAGCGGAGAGAGCACAACCCAAGACTCTTTTACATGATTTAGAAGGCTGTTTGTGTAGCCTCAAGACAAAGGCAAGACATCAACACATGCGATCGTTGTTGGTCAGATACGTAGTGAAAGACGCGTTCCTACCCTTCCAAAGTTCGGTCGTCTATGACGTAAGCGTGAAGACTAACTCTTCACGGCCTAATGTCCCCACGCCTGATTGCATCTCTTCTACCATCACGCAGCATACATATCCAACATCAACTATCCTTCCGGCACCTTTACGCCACGACGCTAAATCAGTCCCAATCTGAATGCCAAGTTCTGCCGCCAAAAAACGTAAAACACGCCATTCAGGTCGGGATTTCAAAATGACACGGCAAGAGCCAGGTGCTACCATGCTTGCTCTTGCAGACACCGGGTTGTTGCGCCTCGTAGATGAGCTTCTCCTCAACGTCCTCGACCATATTGCGTCTTTGAGGGACCTTTGCAACTTTGCGGCAACATGTGCGCGTCTCCAGGGACTCGCAGAACCATATGTCTGGCGCTCACTACTAGTGCTCAGCGGTACACATGCGCGCAACATTGCCGCAGTATTAGACAGGCGGGAAGAACGAGCCGACTTCGTCCAAGAGCTATCAATCCGGTACAAAGACCAGAATAAGGAGGGAATTGAAGACCTGAATCATTGGTTGACTCTCATGTCGAAGCTTCGCCACTTGACTCTAGAGAGTCCATGCCCGAACAACACAGAATGGCGGCAGGGTGAAGTGTTTGATGGCTGGTCAAGGATCAACTACTCGAATCTGATGGCGAGCGCAGTATTTCCGAGAGAAGGGCTGCCAGTTGCATTGCCGATGTTACAATCTTGTAGGCGATAGTGTGTACATGACGGTCTAACTCTTCGCTAACAGGTGACAGTTACATTACACGCGCATGGAGCAGACGACAGGAAATTCGAATTCGACAACCGTCTAGCTTCTGTCTTCTTCCATCCCACGCTGCGCGACCTTACTATCTCTTGCCTGAACATCAAGAACCGAGATATGGAATCAACGATCAGGTCTTTCGGCAAGGAGCGCAAATCAACACCTCTCCGATTTTTGACATTCATTGAGTGTAATATCGATATCGACACGCTCCATACCATTCTCAGTATGCCTAAGGCTTTGAAGCAGCTTTCGATCGGCGAGCGTTTGCATGTATTCGAAGGAGCCCGCCCACCGATGGACCCCGGGCAACGAACATGTTCCACACGCTTTTTGCCAGCTCTACAGCAGCAAGCCAATTCACTTGAGAAGCTAACTCATATTGGCGGCTCTCTTCCATACCTCCTAGGGCGGGAAACCGATCCAGATGGTGCGGCAAAGCTACGCTCCTTCACTAATCTACAACACCTCGAGCTCGGCTTTGAATCACATCTTTACTACTACCTCCGCGATAATGGGTTCCCACCACGGCTCAAATACCTCAAGATGCTGGATAACGCCATATCGAATAACTACAGCCACCAAGCTGACGCCCTTACGAGGACAGTCTTCCGCTCGACCACGTCACTAGTCACACAACACTTCCCTTCTACTGTGCCGGAAGATTTCACGCTTCATGTGCACTACTCGAACCACATCTGCTTTCATTCAGACAACGCCGATCAGTACATCTCTGTGATGTTCCTCAGCCGCCCATTGATATACCGAATCGCCGACATTCTGCACGAGCACAAAGGCCGCCTTGTCGTGTCTCGTGACACATTTCCCTCTGGTGTCTCTTTCATCCCGCCATACATGTACGGCGAGGAGCGGCCGGTCGAACAAATGCTGTACGACTCCGACGATTACTTCACATTCAATGGAAAGGACTACCGAGTCCTTGACGACGACGGGTTCAGCGAGAAGGTGGAGAAGGACCTACTAGTATGTCCGAAATGTGTGAGTCGGGGCTTCACGGAGAGGGAATGCAAGCAGTTGGGAGATGGAAGTCGGTGTCAGCCGTGCTACAGAGATGGTCTGGAATGTGGGTGGGCGAGGGACGAGGCCGGAAAGCTCGCAAAGCCTGCGCTCTGAGGCTGAATATCATGGCACGAGTTCCGACGGAGCAGACTTTGGATGCGCACATGCACGTGCGCATGGCCTTTTGGGGCACTTGAATATATACCCCGGCACTGTTTTGCCATTCTACTTCACCCACTTCGTAAACTCTGTAGCCCAAGTCTAGATCAGCGTCTAAAGGCCATTGTCGGCCTATCGTTAGCTTCAATACGTGAGATTTTGGCATGAGGGGCTGACTGGCTCAACGTTGGACACATTACCAGTGTCCTCTCCGATGTGTCGATGAAAGAGTGACAGGTGAGGAGTCTGCTTCGGAAGTCTGCTTCCGCCAAGCTCCGGCAACTGACAATCGCCGTTATCGCCGTGGTATCGTACTCTCACAAACGACGATGTAGTTCCCAACACCCAAGCGCTCCTGCGGCGCTACTGAACCTAATCATGGACACTCCACAAGTTACTGTGCTCCTTCTTGGTGACGCCGAATGCGGCAAGTCCACGTTCTTGTCGTGAGTGCTACCTTCACATACATACAGAAGTCTTATCACCGTCCAAGGCGCGTCACAGGCTCTCACAAAGATTTCTGAAATTACACTGCATATTACTGAGAGCTAACGTGATAGCAGACGTCTCAGCCTTGGTGTACAGCCACACAATAACGACCTTCCACCGTATGCGCTTCCAACGCTTCGCGACACGGATCAACCATTCGAATTCGATATTTCGCTCTACGGACGACCCTACAAGCTCCGCTTTTACGATACCAAAAGTCCTGAAAACTATACGCTGCTACGTCCACAATTCGTGATACTCTGCTATGACATAACTTCGCGCGCCTCCCTTGAATCGCTCACCAAGACGTGGCTCCCCATCGTGAATGGTCACTTCAACTACGACGAGAACCTTCCGGTCATGGTCCTGGGTCTGAAGCGTGACTTGCGTAAGCAATGGACACTACAAGAAGTCGGCGAAGACAAGAAAGGCAGAGGGCCAAGCGTCATGCCTCACGAGGGCGTGCAAACCGCGCAGCGGATGTTGTGCGATCACTACGCTGAATGCAGCGCTCTGACGGGCGAGCTGTGCCGTGAGGTTCTGCAAGACGTCGCCAAGACTTGCGCAAAGACGACAACCGCAGATGGAGCGAAGAGTGGAGGCGTGCTCTCCGAGTGTGTCGTCATGTAACGATCCGTGGGCAGCGTCTCACACAGCCGCCACGCAAGCTTTTGCCTCCAATCGCACGGCAGATATGCTGCCATGCTGCATACAATGTCCGGTTCCAAGGACATGTGCATTATGACGTAGCATACAGGCCTTGCGAGATCCCTAGATCGCTTTTCTGCAAATCGGCACATGCAGATCAGCCGTCTACGCACAATTTGTGCATTCTGATATCTCGACATGCGCTCTATCAGCATGCTGAGACAATCAGATAAAGCGGAGATTGATCAATAGATAACGTGCTTCAGCCTCCGGATTGCAGAACTTGTCTGGAAGAAGGAACACGTATACAGGGCCTTGAAGCGCATGATTGCCTTAAAGCTCTCCCCACCCGGAAATATTTCGGCTTCTATTGTGAGTATATGACATCGATTGAACCCATTTTGAGGTTTGTCGACATCACGACGGTACTCAACAGCTCTCTCGCTTCCTTCATTGCGGCGGTTTAAGCGTCTCTGTCCGTATTGTTGGTCGTCTCTTACTATAACAGCACGGTTGGGTTCCATCAATGCGAGCAATGGCAAAGCAGTTAGCAAAATATGCGTTAAGATGTTCCTACCGGGTTTGCTCTTGATCCAGATTGGATCCGAGCAACATCCTAGCTCTGCCAATCGTTATCAACCTCCTGTGGGCTTTCATCTGCTACTTTGTTGACTTCTTGATTGGCGTCTTCGCACTTTTAGCATTTGGCCTGCCGGATTGGACTACTGCAGCGATCATGTTCAACAACACTGCGAGTTATCCGTTGCTGCTCATCCAAAGCTTGGAACAAATTGGCATTCTCTCCAAACTGCTGGTGGCTGATGAGAGGACGTGTGAGCTAGTCGGAAGGGCAAAGAGCTACTTCTTCGTTTTCGCGACAGTCAGCAGCTGTTTGGCGTTTGTCGTGGGCCCACGGCTAATTGACACTGAGCATGTGCCTGAATCAGATGATAATTTGACGATCGACGGAGAAGAGGAGAATGAGCCGAGGTCTCCGAGGACTCAATCAACAAACCACGATTAGAGAACGGCAACAATGCTGAGGAACCATCCAAGCAGATCAGGTTACTATCTTCAAGTCAACCAAATCGAGAACGTCGCAAAAGCGTGACCAATATCACCCTCTTTCCATCAAAGCCCAAGTTCACGACCGTAAAGCGTCGCCCTCGCTACATCCCGCAGCTCCATTGGAGCAATCCCAGTGCATGCACACAGTAGTGGCTTTTGTTCTTCTACGACTTCCTCAATGCAGCCTTGCTCGGTACTTTGCTGGGTGTGCTTATCGGCATGACACCTGTTCTCCATCGTGCTTTCTTCAGCAGTACCTACAATGGCGCTGTCTTCACTGCCTGGCTCACAGAAAGTTGGAAGAACATCGGGAGATTGCTCGTTCCCTTACCTTTCATTTTTGCCGGCATCTCGTTGTACACCTTATACAAGGACTTAAAGCAGAGCGATGGCTCAACTGCACGGGCAAGCACTCCTCTTGCTACGACGGCTTTCATCCTGATGATACGCTTCATTATGTGGCCCATTATCAGTAGCGGCGTCATCTACGCCATCGTAAAGCACTCCAGCGCCCTTGAATCGGTACCCAATGCTCTAATTCGCGATAATGCTTATGCCGACGGGGCCGCCTGCCATGAAGCTGATCACCATGGTCCAGGTCAGCGATGCTGGTGTTGAAGACGAGAGGAAGATCGCAAAGATTTTGGCTACCTCGTACATCATCAGCCCGATACTGGTTGTTGTGGTTGTTGGCGCTTTGTATGTAAGCAAAGCTGCTATGTGAAAAAGGGCTGTGAAACGTTGAGATGCTTTCACCTCCATATCGAGGTGACGTAGCGATACGCGAAGACCGTGCGCAACCAAACTATACTCCGCTCAAATACACCTCGTCACTCAATTAAGCAAGACTTCTCGATCCAACACGACCATGAGGGTTCAACATCTCCTATTGCTTGCGTTGGCGGTCGGTGCATGTGGCAGTTGGCTATTCAAGTGAGTGCTCAAGATTCATCCGGACATGTGCCACGATACACACTTGTCGGCTTGATACAAAGGCTGCACGCTTTCATGGGCCATGCGAGCCAAAGATGCCGACGTAGGACCTGTGTACGGTCCGCAACGAGAAAAACGCCAGAAGCCCATACCGTAGTCTTGATGATCTTCAATCCTGGGGTTGGAACCTGTTCCCTCCGGATAGGGTCGACGAAAAGTTCCACAACTTTTACACTACATGGTATATTGGTGAGGGATTCGTTGATCACGGGGTCCCCGAGTACTCCGACATGTACGAAGGCGGAAAGAACATGCTGATCTTTATCTACCACCGTAGCTTTGATCCGGCAGCTGGCAGCGTCGATGAGCAGTGTTACGATGTCGATGGCAAGGACTATCGAGCAACAGGGGCTTCACACTCATCCGCCATCAACCCAAGGATGGAGTCATTATGGATCTAAACAGACTTTTGCCGAATCACGCTACCAAGGACCGCGAACTGCCCGTGTCTAAAGACCAGATGCTTGCGCTCAGTCGATTTTCGGACGTTGCTTGGATTGGCTGGAACTCAATGACTCGTAAGGAGGGCCTTGACATTGCGAATCTTTGCTTCTTTGTCTTAGTGGACATCAGCAACACTGAAACAAAGAGCGTCATTCATCGTGCCTTGGACGCTAAAGGCTGGGAATTGAGTCCGTGGCATGGCCACATTTGCGAGCGGCAGTGGTTCGAGGCGCGAGCCATCATAGGTACACCAAGTACCTGCCCTACACATTAATTTTTCTCATAGTTAACGTTCATGTACCAGGTACTCCCAACGTCCCAGGGTTTGCATATCTGCTTGTTACACATAAGAATATTCTGGACAATATGTTCATCGACAAAGTGCAGGTTTTCCAGGCTGACACTGCATCTCAGAACCCGTGCATTGTTATGCATCTCTCGAATCCTCGGGCCCAAAACAGGAAGCCGCAGCGTGATGATGCGAAAGCAATTGAGGACGAGGTGGTGAAGGTGGTAGAGGTACACTCACTGCACGCTAAGCTATAGACAGTATATATTAAGCAGGACTAGGACCAGTTATAGACACCACACTCAAGGATAGAGATCGAGACTGATACGGCTTTTTCTGGGCCGAGGCCGTTGCACAATGTTCATGGTGACTGTTTTTGGTGTATCTCTGGTATCAAGGACAGAACGAGCTGCTCAAATGCTCCTGCCTGCAAAAGTTTCCATTTCGTCATGTTACGTAAATGTCTTCAGACTCTTTCCACATCTGCTCCTTCAAGACTTGAGCTCTGTCGTCCACCACGACATCTCTCGCACGTCGTGAGATACCCCGAGCCATCTTCAACTAGTACTGTGCCCGTGCACTCAACGCGCCTGTTCGGTCAACGCGCAGCCATCATCAACATCACCACTTTGCAAAAATGAAGCTGTAGAGCTACACACAAAAGCTATTTTCACAAGATATTCTAGTGGAGTGCTCTATAGATCTATGCAACAAACTTTCTCTATACAAATTAATTATATAGAGTGGCTGTTCGGCCACTGCGGGTAGTGTGGGTGCGAGGTGCAGATGCAGGCTCCGGCTCAACAATACCTCTACAGGCAGCCGCGCCACTACGCTGCTTCTTCTGGGGCTTTGCCAAAGACTTTGAAGCTTTACGCTTGCCTGTTTTAGGCAACTGTATGGTTGTTTGAGCATTGCGAGCTTCCTTATCCTTGCGTCTTTGCTCCTTGCGAGCATCAATTGCAGTACGCTCCTGCACACGCTGCCTGTCACGCTCTCTCTTCTCTACTGCACGCCGCACACGCTTTGCCTCCTCCTCTTGCTGCTTCAGTATGCGATTGTTCTCTATTCTCTGACGCCTGGTGACTTTCTCTGCCTCTAATTGGTGTTGATAAGCCTCAAATGCAGCATCACGAGCATCGGCTTCCTTCTTTGATTGAGGACTCCACCATTTGGCACCCCCATGCCACTCAATATTGTGCGCATATAATGGAAGAACCTTCTGTTTATCCTTCCCCTTCTTCTTCTCGCCAAGAGCCTCCAAGGTGCCATCCAGTTCATGTTGAAGTAGCTGGTTCTGCACATGGAGATGGTGAAGGTGTTGCTCCATCTGCTGTGCCTCTGCAGAACTTGGATCTTTGACTATAGACCGAAGCAGAGACTTGGCCTTGAGCCACACAGGTTCTCCAGAGCTGTTTGTTTGAATCACTTGAGGTTCTGGTGTTGTAGGCTTCTCAACTGTGAAGCGGCTGAGTATAACGTTGCTGTTCTGTGGCCATATTCCAGTGGCAGAGAAGGACTTCAACACCAACGACTTGGTGAAAGTTTTGGTCCAGGCAGCCCAGAATAGGTTGAAAAAGTCGCCTTTCTTCATAGGGGCCTTGCCTTGGGACTTCTGATTGCGAAGATCAAGCTCTGTAGTGTAGTTCTGAGCCAAAGGCTTGAAGCAAACTACATCCAACGGCTGCAGAGTATGTGTAGCATGTGGTGGAAACACCATGACTAGGATCTTGTGGCTATCATAGTAGTCCAAGAAGTCCTTTGTTACATGGCTCCCATGGCCATCAATGATGAGTAACCTCCACTTTCTTCGAGCTTTGGGCTTGGTGTAGCGCTCAAATATCTGTTCCAGCCAAGTCAACCCCAAATCATTGTTTGTCCATCCATTTGGCGAGGTCGTGAAGTGCACAGAGTGTTGTTCTGGGTCAATATCCTTCACCCATGATGCTTGAACTGCACGGCTAGTTGCTGCAAAGATAATGCCTGGGGGAAGGACTGTACCATCGGCACAGACTGTAGCCAACAGTGTCACCCACTCTCTGTTGTTGTCGTGTAAGCTCTGCTGGAACTGCTTCTTGCCATACAACTTCTTGTCAAAGGTTCTTTTGCTTTTGCCAGTGACTCCAATCGCAAAGCCCTTCTCATCCATATTGTATGTGTGCTCAGGTTCTACATTGTATTCCTGCATTTTGCGGTGCAGAAGTTCAAAGTAAAGGCTGTACTTTGTACCAGAATCAGCCTTGTGACGTCCCGTTTCCATAGGCGTGGTCCATGCCGTGATGAGCGTGTCAGAGTTGCGTTTGAGAAAGCGTGTAACCCAGCTGTCGCCAGGCTCATAACCAAGTATTGGGGCTGCCAAATTCTTGATCATTTGCCTTGTAGGCATGAGGTGTCGCTCAGTGAGGCCTTTAATGTAAGCTACAAGCTCTGCCTCATTGCGTGGGTGCATGGCACGCCTGTTGAGTCCTTCGTCTGCACGCGATGCATGAATGCCCTGTTGCTGGCGTGTCAACGTTGATCGCCAACAACCGTGTTTTTCAGCCAATTTTGTATAGGAGATATCTTCATCTTCATCTGCTTGTTCAAGTTCTGTAAGGGCTTCTTTAACGGTCATGGTGGCGTTGTGTTATGGTGGGTGCAAGTTGAGATTGTTACTATGGTGGGGTGCGCGTTGACCGAACAGGCGCGTTGAGTGCACGGGCACGGTAACACTACTCACATGCCGAGGCATTTTGGACTCGCACCTCTCACTCCATACGGCAGAAATCGGAACACATCAACAATACACGGCAGCCATACTCACATGGGCAAACCAACATGAAGCCATATGAAGATTGATCTCCATCTGGTTGGCAGCCAATGGTGCTTTCAAGGCACTCGGCTCCGACTGCCCGCATGGCTTGTGAGAGGGGATGCGGACGCAGGGCAGCTGAGGCATACATAAGTACAACACGCATCGCCCGTCGTTGAGATGCTGGATATAGGCAATTTGCCTTGCTGTTCAGCCCAATTGCTGCACTCAACGCCACCATTGCTGGCTGTTGATGTCGTGCAGCTGTCAGCACGTCCCTCCCCGCCCTCCCACCTCCACTCGCAGGATCGAGGCGCGTGATGTCAATCAACGCGACACAATGCACGACACGGCACTTCTGCAGGCGGTTTTTCTGCGCCCGCACACATTCATGCGCTCCCTGGGTATGACCTGAGCCGCTCGCCCGACAACTCACTTGCTGCTTGCGGACGCGGCCGCTGTAGCTCGGCATTCTACACCGGCTTAAAGGGCTTTATGGCGCCGCGAGCCAGACGTCTGCGAACCTCGGGAGAGCTTTGGCCCGCCCGCGTTCTCTACTGACAGCTCCCCACCTATCTTCCGCCTATCATTCCGAGCATCGCAGGGTGGAAAGACGCTACCGCGGCCGGCAAGCGCAGGACGACCCTTTGGCGATTCTCGTCGAGACTCTCACCACCGAGGTTATAGATACTACTACCACCGCTATCCGCCATGAGGCCCTCTCCTTCAGCTTCAGCTGCCCTTCGCACCGCTACCAGCCTCACACGCCTCCCGTCCCGCAGCTTTGCGACTCGTGCCATTGCGAGCCAGACTTGTGCGAAATCGGCTCTGTTCTCGAACGCGCGACGAACCACCACAGGCACTCCCGCAGCATCTGCAGCTTTCCTCACCAGACAGCAATTCGACCAGCAGCTCAGGATGGCGTCCTCTACCCCTGCCTCGGGCATTAAGAAGATCAAGGTGGTGAACCCTGTGGTCGAGCTTGATGGTGACGAGATGACTCGCATCATCTGGCAGACCATCAAGGACAAGTTCATCCACCCCTACCTCGACATTGACCTCAAGTACTACGACCTCGGTCTCGAGTACCGTGACGAGACTAACGACCAGGTCACTCTCGATGCCGCCGAGGCCATCAAGAAGTACTCGGTCGGTGTCAAGTGCGCGACCATCACCCCCGATGAGCAGCGTGTCGAGGAGTTCAAGCTCAAGAAGATGTGGCTCTCGCCTAACGGCACCATCCGCAACCACCTGTAAGCTTCGTACAACCACAATCGGTGAACAGATAGCTAATTGGAGTCTGCAGCGGTGGAACCGTCTTCCGTGCTCCCATTGTCATTCCCCGTATTCCCCGTCTCGTACCCAGCTGGAAGCAGCCCATCATCATCGGCCGTCACGCCTTCGGTGACCAGTACCGCGCCAAGGACCGCGTCATTGAGGGCGAGGGCACTCTCGAGATGGTCTTCACCCCCAAGGGCGGCGAGCCCCAGACCATTAAGGTCTACGACTTCCCTGCTGGCGGAGGTGTCGCCCAGACCCAGTACAACACTACCGAGTCCATCTCCGGCTTCGCACACGCTTCCATGAAGCTTGCGCTCGACAAGAAGCTGCCTCTGTACATGAGCACCAAGAACACTATCCTGAAGGCCTACGACGGCAAGTTCAAGGACGTCTTCCAGGAGATCTACGACAACCAGTACAAGAAGGACTTCGAGGCTGCCGGCATCTGGTACGAGCACCGTCTGATCGACGACATGGTCGCCCAGATGATCAAGAGCGAGGGTGGCTACATCATCGCCATGAAGAGTAAGTTCGACCCTCTTGCTTGAACACGACATCTGCTTACACACACCAGACTACGACGGTGACGTCCAGTCCGACATCGTTGCCCAAGGTTTCGGCTCTCTCGGTCTCATGACCTCCGTTCTCATCACCCCCGACGGCAAGACCTTCGAGGCCGAGGCCGCCCACGGCACCGTCACTCGCCACTACCGCGAGCACCAGAAAGGCAACGAGACCTCCACCAACCCCATCGCCTCCATCTACGCCTGGACACAGGGTCTCTCCAAGCGTGGTGAGCTCGATAACACCCCCGAGCTCGTCGTCTTCGCCGAGCAGCTCGAGAAGGCCTGCATCGATACCGTCGACGTTGATGGCATCATGACCAAGGATCTTGCACTTGCGTGCGGAAAGAAGGACAGGGGCAGCTGGGTCACAACGAACGAGTACCTTGATGCCGTTGAGAGGAGGCTGAAGACCAGCTTGAAGGAGAAGTTGTAAATCAAGCGCGAAGGCAAGGAAAATGAAGAGCATGTTGAGCGATTTTGAACTAGCTGGTAGATATCGGCATACCTAGATACCTGTAGATGGAATTTTGGCTTACTCTATCCAGGGAAGCAGCATGAATACAGCGAGATCAAAAACACTCAAAATGCTGTCCCTCTTGTACCATCTTCTTGTCCAGCTTTTCATCATCTACTTTGATCTTTGTGTGCAGATTGCTACCGGTTCGATGCCGACATCGCTTACATTACAAGTTTGACTTCGTCAACGCTTCGTCCGGCCGCAGAAGTAAGACCGGTCCGCAACAGCTGATGACCGCAGTCGCAGTTTGAGGCACACCTACAATTACTCTTATCAAACAGAGCTTCGCGCACGACATACTTTTTTCCACAATTCTGTGGCCCGCATTGGTGCTCTGCAACCCAGCAGTGCGTTAAAAGCACCAACCGGCGCGTCTGAAATGACACACTGCATTCACGCTTTCATTCAAGCATTTCACCTCCTTCCGTGATGTCTAGTCGTCGAAGTTCGGCGTTTTTTTTTTTAATTTTCTCGATGTTCTTCTAGGCTCGTGCATCGGCTGTCGCTATGTCTCACAGCAGCACGCTTGCGTGCATGGAAAGACGTAGTAATTGCGGTTTGTTTGTTACACATGTTGTTTCGGAAACATGTGTTGTCAGATTTTTCTTCTGTCCTCTTCCTTTCCACTCAGATCTTTGGGTTAATCATTCAGTCGTTTTTTGTCTTGTTCCTGTCTCGTCTATCAATTGTTTTGGGCCCTGAGAAACAGCAACGCGCCACAACCGTACCGTCTCATATGCAGGGTCCGCCTGCTCAACATAACCTTGGAATTAACAACACCGCAAATGCCCATCTACAACCCTTCCAACCCAATCCTAAATTTGGACCTTTACAAAGTCGGCAGCAAAAAGTAAGTTCCTACATCATCCCTCAATCCACACGAAATTAGCACAGCCGTACCATCTCCACATCGCCCGCCGGTTGGGGCCCGATCATCACCAGTCCATCCAGTTCCCACGCAAGCGCTCCACTTATCATCTCAAACCAACTGGAGATGCAAAATCACATGACCGTGTCTTTCACTGACACGTCGCGTAGCCGCCAAGGATGACCCTGTCTACCGAGACAAGAACCACATTCGGTACCAGCGAAATCGAGAACGAGAATAAGGACCCTTTTGTTGTTACTCCGCCACGCAAACGCGATTTGACGAAAGAAACAACCAGTCCAGCAACACCCAAAAGTAAGAGTACACCACTGCACAAGCGCTTCTTGGAGGAGGTCACTATGAGTCCTGGCACACTGTCCACACCGCCACGAACGCCCAGTAAGAGCCCAAAAAGAGGCCATACGTCGAAGCAGATGCTTGAGGTTGGGCAGAATGGGTTTTATTTTTCTATGGAGATACCGAAGAAGAAGATTACGCCTAGGAGGGCTGCGACACCAGATGGAAGGACGTTCGGTGGACAGTCACCGAGTCCCCTGAAAGAGAAGAAGAGTGAGGTGAAGGGCGGCGAGACCCCTGGCGGGGGGAGAGTCAAGGACATTCTGAGGAAGAATCTGTTTGGGACGCCGATGAAGAAGGCTACGAAGTTCGGCAGGGGCGATCAAGAGAAGGGGGACGTGGAGAAGACGGGAACTGCAGTGAGGATCAGTCCATCGAAAGATCGCTCGTGGCAGAGCATGCTGAAGCGTGAGCCACAGCCAAGCGAACACAGCGGAAGTGAAAGCGCACAAAACGGCACTACGACAGAAGCTGCGACCGAACACGCTGTTGCGCCTGCCATCACCCAGGACTCGTCCAGATCTGCCGAACCTTCAGCACCACCTCCATCAACAATGACGCCATCGACGATGCAGAATCCGGTTATGCCACCAGACCAACAACAGACTGCACCTGCACTCGACCTACAAAAGGCGTCCGCCGCTTCCACACCATCGAACATCGGCCATCTGATGGCCGGCCTTCGCAACAAGAGCTCGAAAGTTCAGATGCTGCCCACGACCGGCGGTCTGGAGTCTATGCCAACGCCGCTGCGCAAGATGTCAGAGAGACTTGGCCTGAGGAGTCCGCATGTCGTGCGCAAGGGGAAGGTCGATGGCGACGGCGATGGCAAAAGCAGTCCCGCTGCAATGTCGAAGACAGAGACGTTGAGGTTGCCGATCTCGGCGTTGGATTTGAGAAGTGCTGCGAAAAGGGAGAACGGGTCAGCGTCGGGTACTTCAGCTGTTGTAGGAGCTACGACGACTGCGCAGATGGCATCAAAGGAAGGGCACGCGATGCGAAAAGAGGATCCTCTCGCCCAATTTCGCAAGTATCCGACCGCAGTTGCATCACCTGTCGTTTCCTCACGCCCAAGCACTGCGACATCATCATCGTTCGCGTTTCCCTCAACGTCCTCCAGACCAGGTCTTCCGAACAGATCGAAGAGCTTTGGCACGCCTACTCGTCTCCGCTTTTCTATACAGGAAGACATGTACAAAGTGCAAGAGTCTCTGAAGCGATCACTTGGGCAAGATTTCAGCTTCCAGACGAACGGCACAAACCATGCAACACCAATGTCACCCACTGTAGCAGCCGCAAGCCCGGGTGCGTCCGCCAGGGACCACAGCAAAAGTAATGCGAGGAAAGCGGCGAGGCCTGTCTCCATGGTAGGTCCAGCCAAGTCAAATGAAGTGAGCAGCACAGAGGCTGGGCCGAGGAGACCGCTCAACACCGCAGCACGCAAACCGAGACCCAAATCCATGATCGTAGGTTCAGCCAAAGTTCTAGAGACCATTGCTGCACAAATCGACTCACCACGCGAGCGGGCGAAGCTGCGTAGCGCCGCTGCCACATCTTCGAGTACACAAACCGGACCTACGACTTCACGTCCTGGCATAGCGGCGTCAACGTCGCAAGGACCCAAAGCCACTACCACAACGCAGGAGTTGAAGAAACCCCAGCCTACGGTCCGCACGACAAAGTCCGCAGCTCTTCGTGCCGCTGCCCACCCCAAACGCGCAGCACCACCTGCGCCTGCAGCTACATCGGGTCTGCAGAAACAGAGGATAGTAAGTGCCGAAGTGATCGCGGACCACATATCCTCATGGAATTCTGAGGACCGCAAGAATGCCGTGCAGAAGATACCCGTGCGCTCCAAGTCCACAAAAGCATCAAACAAACCTGCTGTCAGGGGCATGGGCAAGAGAAAGGTGGTGACGCCAGAGCCAAAGAATACGAAAGACACAAAAGCAGACTCAGGCACTGCGCAATCCTACACGCCCCCCGGCAACCCAACGCGTCTCTCCTCACCCGTCAAATCACCCTCGAAAACCCGCCTTACGGTGTTACCCGCCACTCCCGCAACCAAGCCGAAGATAGCGCCCCCTCTGTCCCACGCAGCTCCGTCTCACGCAGCAAAGCTGAGGACACCGCACCCGGCTAGAACTCCGGTTATTCAGAGGACGGCTGGGATGGGTCGGAATGATGGATTGGAGGAGGATCTAAATGCGCTGCGCACACCGAGTAAGGAAATTCAGAGTGCGCTGGATCGAGCGATTGATAGGAAGATTGAGGAGGATAGAAGGAGGGGTGGGTGGTTATGAGCTGGGATGAGAGTGAGGGGATGGTTATGATGATCTACTGAGAAACCACCGATTGCATGTACGATTACAATGTCACGAACCAAAAAAGAATTGAAGGAAATACGGTAGCACATACATAACAAAAGCAAAAGTAGACAACCCACGGAGTATCGAAATGTCATTACAATTCAACAAATCTAGGTCGTCTTCCATAGTCTTAGACTCAGATAGGACGTTAAACCAATCAATCAATCAACAAATCTAGAAACGCCGCCGCTCAAATGCTTATCAAAAGGAACAATATGTAATCACCGAACAACACAGCCTTTTATGTGGCAGGCTCCAATGTCCCTGGAATAACGGGCTCGTTTCCACCCATCCTCTCCGTCTTCTTCTCTTTCCTCTCCCCTTCCTTGATCCAGAATTTCTCCTTGTTTTGCTGCAGCATTTTATGCATCAGATCCGCCATAGCCTGCAGCATCGCCTCCTCGGTACTCTGCTTCGTCATGGCCTTATCAATGGTGTGGTGTCTGAGGAACAGACCCGCGCACTTGCTCAAAATGTGGGCATGCTTGTTGATGCCAGGGTATCCCATTGCATCATCGCATGGAATTTCGACGATCTCATTCCCGCTCGGGTTGTAATCCCAGCGAATGTACTCCGAAAACGCTTTTTGCTCGTGACTCCAATTCTGCTTCCAGTTCCCACACCCAGGGTATTGTTTCTCATTCGGACACTCCTTCCACGCCGTCATCATCTCAAATGTATACGGCAGCGCCTGCGCAATAACCACACCAGTATTCAGCGCGAGTTTGCCCTTGCTGTCATTGGACGCGTTCTCGTCGCCGTTGAGAATCTGCCGCGTGTCGAGCGGCATCGCGACTGAGGTTGAGGGCGTGATGCCCCAGCGGTTGAATAGCCATTCGATCGGCAGCTCGAGGTGTTGGATCGTTGCGTCGGCGTCGATGAAGACGACGAAGCGGTAGGATTCGAGGAGCTCAGAAAGGACGTGCGGTTTTACCCAAGTGTTGTGGTATCCGGCGGATTCCATTTCGTGCGCGTTGAAGAAGCGGTAGTCGTAGCCGTGGATTTGGGCTATGGAAGTTAGTTCTGGACAAGAGTGTTTGGGGATGCTTGGGGTGCTTACAGTAGAGAAAGTGGTTCATGAACGAGGCGGAGACCATACCGCCGTCCTTTTCGGCATTCATGTTTTGCCAGTCCATGCGTCTGTTGTTCCATAGCTCGTTGTCGCCGTCGGGTACTCGGGTGTCGATATCGACGATGAGGATCTCATTCCTCAGCGGCGTTTTCCACCACGGTCCATGCTGGTTGATCTTGTACTCTTGTCCAGAAGGATCTTTGTATATTGGTGCAGAGACATTTGTTCGTATCGATTCATAAAGGTTGAGAAAGGAGTCGCTTATTCTGGGCTTTTCGTGCTTGAACATGTTCGCAGCGCTGCTAGCTGTGTCCTTGATCTGCTGCACCGGGTTGTTGCCATGGTGTATACTCGCTGCCGAATAGATAGAGACAGAAATGAAGAAGAGAAAGACACCAAGGGCCGCGATGCGATGTGTGGAAAACACAGGGCCAGGCATTTTGTTAAAGAAAGTGAGAATGAGCAAACGAAAAGAAGGTAAGGAAGGCATTCAAAGGACGTCAGCAAAGGCTGTTAAGTTCGAGGGGCGTCGTCAGCATGGAGCTTACGGGTAGACTAAGCGTACGACGAATTAACAGCTCGAAAATAGTATGTTGGGACAAGAATGAGCGGGTAGCGTGCTTCTATGATCGAGCAATCGTCCATATCAAACCTGGTCTCTGGTCTGCGTGACATAAGGCGGCCGTGCTAAGAACAAAGAAGAAAAATCGCAGGCTTCACTACTCCATAGTTTCGTACTTAGTTTGTCAATGTCGTGTCACATTTCAGGCCGGACGAAGCCTACCAATGGGCCACGTTCCAAGACGTGGCTCAGACTTGTGATTAAGCTTGGATCCCGCTGAACTCCGTCTCTGTTGAGTCAGTGACAGCCTACGCGCATGCTAATCGCTTCCACTCCTCGGGCGCTCAATCTCAGGGGTGGAGACATTTGTTGCGATGTTGGGATTTCTGTGATGTCAAAGGGGTCTATAGATAGTTTTGATTAGCGTCGAGCTTGCTGTTCCGAGGGCCCGCCAATGTGCCGCCTGTGCAAGCGTGGAACCAAGATCTGGGCGTTTTAGGGCTGTCTATGCCACCAATGCTGCCCCCTGTCATTACTTTTACCCTTTCCTCTTTCAATCGACCACAGCTTCAGATTTCAGAGACGGGGAGGCCCGTGTCTAGAATGCCGTTACAATTATCGTCGTCTTCGCTTGACCAATAAGGGTGCATCGCAGGCGCTCGCTTAGGCAGCGACATTGGAGAATCAGCCTTGTGAGACTGTGGATGCAGACCTCCCCACTATTGCATGTACAAAGGCTTCTTAGTCAGTATTTGACTTGCAGTAAATTGCTCATTCGTCAACGACTCGCAGCCTCAGTATGTTCCTTCCCTGGACGAATCTTGATGGTCAAGGTCTTTGTGAAGCTTGAGCGGTGACACTCTGTTGGACCGTTATAAACGCCACGGCACATGGTTGCAGTATCCTCACTCCGGCTTCTGAAGCTCGGGCTGGCTGGGTTAAGCCATACATTGTACATGGAGTGTGGTTCTGCCAAGCCTGTGCATGGTCCGATAAGTTAGCCTGACTTGCACTGTATCTAAATGGGGTCGAAGTGGCATTTTGCTTTGGATCATGGCAGAGACCTTTAAACGTCGACGTCCTATGTTACCTTCTAGATTTGAAGCAGTGCAGGGCTCATCTTTTGGGGCTACCCACTATAATGGTGAATTGCAGTTCAGTGTTGTGCGATGTAAAAAAAACTCTTTTGGATTCTTCGTCAAGCAGCTTTAGAATATGCATCGATGCAGTAATCGAGCGACATGGCGATCACACACTTCGGCGCGCTGCGGTGTTTTCGCTCGTGGCACAACGATAAGCTTGTCACAGCGTAGCACCTTCCATCTCCAATCTAGTTGGGGATGGGTCAGTGCAATCTTTACCCGAGGCAGTAGCAAGCGGCGAACAGTTGTAGAGTGCAAGGCTTTCCTCTTCTAGGACATCATGTTAGGCGACGGTGTTGCAGTAGCCGAGCAAACAGTATACCCAATGCGGCCAGACTCTTACCGCAAGCTCTCAGCCAATTAGACATAGTCTCTGCTTGTGCCTTGCGAACATAACCTCGCTGGTCGTAACGCACCATCTTCAGAACATGCGAAAGCTGATTTTCACCAGACCTAAGTGGAGAAACCACTTGGCTGCTTTCCGCGAAACTCCCTTGCATGATGCTGAACCTTCCTTCTGTGTGCCTTCTTTTGCTAGCTGACGAAGATAGTGTTTCCTCATCAGCTCTTCATCACTAAGTCCGTTCTCACCAGCAATCACCTCAAAGAGTACCAAGTCTTGTTTCGGTTTTCTATCCTATGCTCAAACAACTGTTCACTTTCAGGTATTAACTCAAGGTGGCAGGTGGAAGCGTATAAGCATACCAGTCAAAGAAACTCGTTGCGCTCTTGTACACTTGTCCCTGTAGCACATTGACGATAGCAACAAGAGTCCCTTGCGAATTCAAGGTGAGATATGGTTCTCCCAGGCTTTGGGAGGATAGTAAATCTGTACCGTAGCAACCGTTGGCTGGTAACCAATCGGCGATTTTCCTGTATGCACGTACCACTTTGCCCTTCATCGCAACATCCTTACAAGCTGTCCTCCGCATCCCACCTTCACCGTCATCGCCAAAAGCTACACCACCACAGCGCAAACAGTTCGATATCGACTACACACACAGTGGCTCGTATTATCACCTCGCAAACAAACACACCTCAACCGCCAAAATGCCGGGCAAAATCATCCCTGTAACCAGCGCCTCCCACTTCGAAACGCTCCTCAACTCCTCAACCTACACAATCGTCGATTTCTACGCGGATTGGTGCGGACCTTGTAAAGCGATTGCTCCCGTGTTTCAGACATTAGCCGAGAAGGAGACAAGGCCTGGGAAACTGCAGTTCGTGAAGGTCGATGTAGATGCACAGCAGGAAGTTGCGAGGAAGTATGGGGTCTCTGCGTACGTATACCCATTTCTACAAGAGGAGAGGGAATAGAAAAGAGGGATCGTTACGATTTGAGGACTGGGTCTAACAAGAGCGCAGTATGCCAACATTCCTCGTAATCAAATCGAAGTCCGTTATCGAAACGATCCGCGGCGCCAACCCCTCCGCCCTCACAGCCGCTGTACGCAAAGCCGCAAACGACACAGGAGCCGGTGGTGCAGGTTCTGCAGCATTCGCATCGAAGGGCAGGACATTAGGAAGCTCAAGCCAGCCTAGCCAGACCGTGGGCGAAGGGGCCTTTGCGGGGCTGCAGAGGCTAATGACAGGAAACGGCGGGTTCGCGGATATGGCGATACGGTTCTTGGCGCTGTATCTTGTGAGTTTGTTTGCTTTCGATTCGTTCAAGGCGGCTCAGGAGAGCCCGTACAACGTTAGGTCAAGGAGGTAGGGGTCGGGGAGCACGAGGCAGAAACGAAATCCATGGGCAGAGTCTAGCGTTACGGGGTGGTCTGCATGAATTTCGCGTTGGCATAAACATATTTGCACGGCGTTCAGGTATCAGGCGCAATCCATGTGCCGAGAATATGTTAACACGACAAAGTGGCTATCCTCACGTTTCGTTCTTTCCGTTGGTTTGGTAACAGCTTACTTTCTAGTTGGACGCCCGTCCTCAATATAGGTCCTGGCCTGAAGCACCTCAGGGAAGAGAGGGTACTCACACTATGTTCCTGATTTGTTGCGGGAGACATTAGAACTAATTCTTGACTACCTCAATGCCTCTTAGGAGCGTCAAGCAAACTGCTTCAGGAAAGATGTCTCACGTGTAGCAATTCAGGCGAGCCGGGACGCACGGTGTCCCGGGACAGGTTCGCACTCCGGACCTTCACCATCGCTTGCACGCACATTTACAGACCTGCGATGGACATGTAAAGTTCTTAGGCCAACTCTCTACCAGTTTATTAGCTTCCGGCGCAGATTTTCGCAATGTTGGCCTTGCTGTCGATTGTTTTATCAACGCCGTTAATCGACCATTCGTCAATACCCCCCTGTCTATTTGCGATCTGAGGAATCCTTGTGCGGGTCGGAGGGTCTGAGAGTAGACAAAGTAAAAGAAGATTGTATCCCTGGGCCCTAGAAGCTCTTTTGACTAAAGAAGTCTGCCGTCCGGCAGTTTCGCCGATCAAGAGGGAAGATTGCAAAAAGCGACTCGGCAGGTGGGATGCGCTAGGGTCAGCTGATCTGCATTAGCGTGCTGAGATGTTGTCGTAAGTTATTGTACTGAAACGATCGCTATACCTAAAGCAAATCGTCTGCCCCGACGAACTGTGGCGCAGGCTGGCTTCACAGCCACGTGCCCTTTCTCCACTTCTCAGATAGGGGGCGGGTCGGCTCTCCTCCGCTCAGGCACCCACCAGTTTGGCTGCTGTTCAGCCTTGCGCCTGCTCGCGCCTGCCCCGTTTCAGGCCACTTCCAACCATCCTTACCCCAACAGGAACATGGCAAACAACATCAGCTTCGCCTCGCAACACAACAGCGAGTTGCTCCTTCCCAACAGGATCTCTAGGTGATGTACAGCCTTTTGCCTTCGTGTTCACATGCTGACCTTGAACGTAACAGGGAAACGTCGGCAGCACTATCTCGCTCCTAGACTGCAGCCTCAAGTTTCTGCGAACCTCGCCGCTATTGCATGCACTTACCACACATCTGCGCATCTCGATGCGGCTCTTAGAGTACCGAGAAGATGGAGAGCTCAGTATCACCGCTAACGTGGTTGACGAAGACGCAATTCCTCCTTACGCAATCCTGTCTCATACATGGGGAGCGGAGGCGGAGGAGGTCACCTTCGAAGACCTAGCAAAGAATGCTGGCAAGGACAAGCCTGGCTACAAGAAGATTGAGCTCTGCGGAGAGCAGGCAAAGCGCGACGGCTTACATCATTTTTGGATTGACACCTGCTGCATCGACAAGGCAAACAAGGCTGAGCACTCGCTAGCCATACAGTCCATGTTTCGCTGGTACCATAACGCAGCACGCTGCTATGTCTACCTGTCAGACGTGTCGGCGTCCTTGTGTCATGGAGCCAACAAAGAAGCGGAACTGTCGCAATGGGACTCACAGTTCCGGCAGAGCAAATGGTTTACGCGCGGTTGGACGCTCCAAGAGCTTCTCGCACCTGGCTCCGTCGAGTTCTTCTCGCAAGAATGGACGAAGCTTGGTGACAAGATATCACTTGCACAAATGGTTCACGAGATCACGGGTATTCAGACGCTTGCGCTGGAAGGGGCGCCTCTATCTAACTTCCTGGTCAACGAACGATTGCGCTGGAAAGAAGCCCGGGAGACTAAACGTGAGGAGGACAGAGCGTATTCGCTGCTGGGCATTTTCGATGTCGAGCTAGCGCCGATATATGGCGAGGGGGCGGCGAGAGCGTTCAAACGTCTGATGGATGAGATCAACAAGCTAGAAAGATGCGTTCAAGATGCGCGCCACACTGACCCGCGTGACGACAAGAAGCGCATCGAGGAGACCAAAGGCGGACTCCTAGCTGGCTCCTACCGTTGGGTGCTCGACGACACCACTTTCCGGCAGTGGCAGCGGGACCCGCGCAGCCGACTGCTATGGGTTAAAGGCGACCCTGGCAAGGGAAAGACGATGCTGCTCTGCGGCATCATAGATGAGCTGCATCGCTCACTGCCCAAGACGGCCCTTCTGGCATACTTCTTCTGCCAAGCGACCGACTCGCGCATCAACAATGCTGCAGCTGTGCTCCGAGGGCTGTTGTACATGCTCGTGAGCCAGCAACCGGCCCTTGTATCGCATGTCCGCAAGAAGCACGATCACGCAGGCAAGGCCTTGTTTGAGGATGCGAATGCCTGGGTAGCGTTGACAGAGATCTTCGCGGACGTGATACGTGACCCACAGCTAAGAGCTACATACTTGATCATTGATGCACTAGACGAGTGTGTCACTGATCTGCCGAAACTGCTTCACTTCATCGCGAAGCAGACTTCTGCGTCTTCCCGTGTCAAGTGGATTGTGTCTAGCCGCAACTGGCCTGAGATTGAAGTACAGCTGGAGCAAGCTGGCAACATGGTCAGACTGAGCCTTGAGCTGAACGCGGAGTCTGTATCGGCTGCCGTCAGCGTCTTCATCCAGCACAAGGTGTTCCAACTGGCACACCAGAGGAAGTACGACCAGCAGACGCAAGACGCGGTGTTGAAGCGACTGACTGCCAATGCAGACGGCACTTTCCTCTGGGTAGCTTTAGTGTGTCAGGACCTTCAAACGACGGCAAGACGGAACGTTCTAAAGAAGCTGGACACCTTCCCGCCAGGCCTGAATGCGCTGTACGAGCGGATGATGCAGCAGATCAGCGTGTCAGATGATGCTGAACTTTGCAAGCAGTTGCTGGCTTTAGCCGCGCTCGTGTATCGACCAGTCACGCTGGAGGAGCTAGTGGCCCTTGCTGAGCCGCTCGAAGACATAGCCGACGAAGCAGAGGTGCGGGAGATCATCGGCCTTTGTGGATCGTTCCTCTGTCTGCGAGGAGACATCGTCTACTTTGTGCACCAGTCCGCGCAAGACTTTCTCTTTGCGAAAGCGTATAACGAAATTTTTCCGCAGGGAGTTAAATCTACGCATCACGTGATCTTCTCGAGGTCGCTTGCCCTTCTGTCAAGAACGTTGCAAAGGGACATGTATGGCCTGGAAGCGTTAGGAACCGCTATCGAAGACGTTCAACCGCCGAAGCCAGACCCGCTTGCAGCCTCACGCTACTTGTGCGTCTACTGGATTGATCATCTGTACAACTCGAAGCTTGAGTCCTGGGCAGACGATAGTGGTGACTTGGAAGTCACAGGCGCCGTTAATGAGTTTATAAAGCAGAAATATCTGTACTGGCTAGAAGGGCTCAGTCTGTGCAGAAGCATGGGAAACGGTGTAGTTTTAATGGCAAAACTATGCTCTCTGGTCAAGGTATAGCATGCACAAACAATATGCCTGTACTGTGTAATTATGCATATGTTGACTCTCTCAGGATCTAAATGACGATAATGAGCTTGCTAAGCTTGTTCAAGATGCCAGCCGGTTCATCATGTATCACAAAGGAGTAATCGAGAACTATCCTCTGCAAACATATGCATCGGCGCTGTTGTTTAGTCCGACGGGGAGCGTGATCAGACAGTTGTTCAAGCACGAAGAGCCGAACGAAATCGCCATCAGGCCAAGGACAAGCGCTGGCTGGAGTGCTTGTCTGCAGACGCTCGAGGGCCATAGCAATTGGTGCAAATCTGTAGCCTTCTCGCACAACTCGAGCAAGCTGGCGTCAGCGTCACACGACAAGACCGTCAAGATTTGGGATGCGAGCAGCGGAGCGTGTCTGCAGACGCTCAAGGGCCATAGCGATTATGTCGAGTCTGTAGCCTTCTCGCACGACTCAAGCAAGCTAGC